AAAAAAAAAAAAAAAAAAAGAATACTTAAGGACACCAAGGCACATTTCTAATTAGTGGATGAGCTGGGCTGAGTGCAAGTCTTCTGACTCCTCCAGCAAAGCCTCCTATACCAGAATGCCTGTGTTGAGTTCCTGAAATTAGTTCCAGATATGGAAGATCTTCCTTTTCACTAAAGAGAGAACATCTTTTGATCACTGTATCAACAGAGACCAGGGAGAGTCACGATATAAACATATTTATGGCCTATAGCCTTTTGGGTTTTCCTATTGTCTCTGATAATGAGTTTAAAGATATATGCTTTGAAAAATTCCTTCACTAGACAAAGCTGAAAATATTTAGTCATTGCTGATGCAGTGGCATATATCTGGAGTCTCAGTTACTCAGGAGGCTGAGTAAGGGGATCACTTACACCCAGGAGTTTGAGACGAGTATGGGCAACATAGTGAGACTGTTTTTTAAAAAAAATAGTCATAAAAATGGTAACTCACATCCAGCAAAGTCAAATTAATACTCCATTCTTGTTTAGGGCTGAGTAGTACTTCACTGTATGGATATACCACATTTTATCTATCTATTCCTTGGTTAATGAACCTCTGGATGTTTCCATTTGTGCATATGAGTGTGTATGTGTGATACTGGGCATGGAATCTAGGGCCTCACATATGCTAAGCAAATGCTGTAGCACAGAGCTACATTCCAAGCCCTTTTCATTTTTTATTTTGACACAAGGTCTCACTAAGTTGCCCAGGCTAGCCTCAAACTTTCAACCCTCTTGCCTCAGACTCCTGAGTAGCTGGGATTATAGGCATGTGACACCATACCTGGCTGGGTGGTTTCCACCTTTTGGCTAGTGTGAATAATGCTCATTTCTCTTGGATATATGTGGAATTGCTGGGTCACATGGTAACTCTGTACTTAACAGTTTCAGTGATGGCCAGTCTGTTTTCATAGCAGCTGCACCATTTTACATCCCCATTAGCGGTGTCTGAAGGTTCAAATTTTCCCATGTTTTGTCTTCTATTCACCCATCCTAGTGGGTCAAAGTGACACCACCCATTTCCCTGGTGACTTAGCCCAGTAGCTTTCATGTGCTTGTTGGTCACTTGTCTATCTTTCTTGGGGAAATGTCTAGTCAGGTACTTTTTTCCCCCTTTTTCTATTTTAAAATTAGCGTCTTCCCAGAATGCAACTGAGTTGTACCTCTCACTCCGGATTCGAAAACCTTCGGGGACTTCCCATTTCCTTCTGGAATCCCTGGGTTCTTCTCCTGGGAATGACTTATGGACAGGCAAGGCTTGCAACCTCTTGAGGAATCCCAACAGTGAGAGACATAAGTCTCCAATAAATGGAGATGACGATAACCATGGTTACACTCACCACCAGCAGCAAGACCTGTGTCTTAGCTGCTTTCCTCTCTGCTAGGGTAAAATACCTTTCCTTTGCCACTTAAGGAAGGTGAGGTTCATTTTGGCTCATGGTTTACAGAGGTTTCAGTCCATGGTCAGCTGGCTCCAAGGTAGGGGAGCTGGGCAGAGAGGCCTGGCAGAGGAAAAGCTACTCACCTCATGATGCACAAGAAGCAGAGAGTGAAGGGAGGAGCTGGGAAGGGAGATAAACCCTGCCACGCCACGGCCCTAGCGACCAGCTCCTCCAATTAGGCCCCACCTCCAAACAGCACAACAGCTTTAAGCCTCCATCGTCCAATCACCTTCCCAAAGCCCTGCCTATGAGTGGAGGAGACTGGGGAGAAGGCTAGATCTGAACTGTGACAAGCTGGTATGAGGAGGAAAGGAACGATTCTGACAACAGCGACAATGAGGTAGCCAAAAGGTCCCTCCCGCCCACTTCTCTTGATGCTTCTCACAGAGCCCCTCACCCAGGATGGTCTTTCCAGCAGGTGAAATCATGATTATCTGTATGGCTTTAAGGATGGGCACTTCTGGCCACAAGATGTCTCTTCCACTGGAGGAGCAAAGAGTTCTCCCCCATTTTCACTAGGTAAATATCTTCCTGCTTCTTTCCCCTACCCCTCAGTACTGGCCATTGCACCTAGGAAGTCCTGGGTTACAGCCCCATGAACCCCCTTTTTTATAGTACTGGAGATTGAACCCCAGCTTTTTTGTTTGTTTGTTTTTGGTACCGGGGATCAAACTCGGGTCCTTGCACTTGTGCAGCAGGTGGTGAAACCACTGAGCTAAATCCCCGGCCCAACCCCAGCTTTTTATTTGTTTTGTTTTTGAGACAATGTCTTGCTAAGTCCCTAAATTGTCCAGGCTGGGCTTGAACTAGCCAACTTGTCCTCCTTGAGCCCTCAGACTCCCAGAGTGCTGGGATTAAAGGTGTGATCCTCTATGTCCAGCTCCTTTTTATTTATTTTTTGGTACCGGGGATCAAACGCGGGACCTTGTGCTTGCAAGGCAGGCAGTGGAACCACTGAGCTAAATCCCCAGCCCTAGGCTCCTTTTTATTTTGAGACAGGGTCTGGCTAAATTGCCCAGATTGGGTTAGAACTTGCTATCCTTCTGCCTTAGACTCCCAAGCAGCTGGAATTGTATGTGTGACCACCCATTCGCTCTCCTGCCCATCAGAACCTCTTCTTAGATGCCTGTCATAAAATGATTCTCTTTCAAAGAGACTTGGGTACACAGGCACGGGGCTCTCAAAGAGAGGTGAGGGGTTTTACTGATGTCACAGTTTTGCTGGCAGACCAGCCTGGCTCCTGCATCTCTGCACTTTGTCATCTCAAGGTGGGGGGGACCCTAGATTCAGGGGAAACAGGGTCACTTTCTAACTTTCCCACCTCCTGCATTTTTTTTTTTTTTGGTACTGGGGATCAAACTCAGGTCCTTGGGCTTTCAGGGGCAGGCGGCGGAACCACTGAGCTAAATCCCCGGCCCTATTTCCCCTTTAACTCTTTTTTTTTCCTTTCAGTACCAGGGATTGAATTTAGGACCTTGCAATTGCAAGGCAGACGCAGCACCACTGAGCTAAATCCCCAGACCCACCTCCTGCATTCTTGTTAGATTCCCAGAGCAGCCTGTGATCTGCAACCTGCAAAGGAGAAAGGAGGAGAAGCTGGCTTAAATTTTCACCACACACCTACCCCCAAATCAGAGATGGCGCTTATCCCCTACCAGGGGGCCACTGTGAACCAAATCAAGGGTGTGGGAGGTTTTGAATAAAAGAAGAGCAAGGACAGGAAAGCATCTGGGCAAGAGGTAGTGGAGGCCACAGGCCCATGGGCTGGGTTCGTGTGAATTGGGCTCAGGAGCTGGTGGCTGCTGGATATCCTCTGTCTGCTGGGGGCTGAGAATAGAAGCAGGTGGTTTGTTGGTGGCTGGGTGGAGGAACCAGAAATGCATGGGTCCCATCTTGCTCAGTAATATTGTGTCCCAGATCCCTTGAAAAATGAACTTTCCTCCCAGCATGGCTGTCTTGTCCGGCCTGCCACTGGGCAAGCTCCTTGAGAGTGGGGACTGCCCTGGGTGCTCACCACTCTGTTAAGCCCTCTGAACCCCAGAATAACAGATCTCTGATTCCCCTTGCTGTCTGGGTTCCCTCTGGCTCCTCTCTGGGGCGACTCTGTCTTGGTCTTGTCTTGGCTCCTGTCCTTTCTCCCCAGCTGGCCTCACCCAGTGGCCACACCTGCAGGGCAGCTGTGCTCCTGTGTTCCTAGCTGTATGTTGCAAAGGCCCCTGGAGCGTGAGGTTGCAAGATGAACTTGGGATCCCACTGTAGCAGAAGCTCTCAGCGCAGTCATCACCCTCCCCCCAGTCACTCCGTCCCCTTCTTCCCGGCTCTTGGCTCAAGGGGACACAAGTCCTCTCCCTCTGCTTCCTCTCTCCCGTGAACCTCCACCACCTCTGCTTCTTCAGGCGCCACCAGATCCACTTAAACCCCTTCCTTGACTGCCGATGCCTGGGAGTAAGGAAGGCCCGAGCTCCGGGAGCTGAAGTGCAGACTACCTCACAAGTTTTGGGGCACAAAGAATAGATGCTCCTGGTTGGGTCGCTTGGGAACGAAGCCCCCTGCTTGATGGGACTCACCCTGGGGTTTTCTTGGAATCTGACACGGTCGGCTGTGGGCTGGCTCTCCGAGGCCACCCTTTCCCTGCCCCTCTTCCCTGAAAGAGTCCTGCCTGGAGAGCTGAGGAAACCCTGCTACCTCTAGGACCTGGAGGATCCGAGTGGGGGGTCGCCCTCCCCGCCCCCCACGAAGCCGGCACCGGAACAGCTCTAATGGGAACCAGGCGAGCGCGCTCCGGGAGGGCTGTGGCCGGGGGTGGGATTCCTTCCTGGACTTCGGTGGGACCTGGGGGGGGGGGGGACAGGAGCGGGGAAGTGTGTGTGTGGGAGTGAAAAGATGGGGGAGCCTAACCACCCCTAAACTTCACAGAGCCCCCCACACACACACCCGGCTTGCCCCCTGCCCCCTGCCCCCCGCCCCTTCCCGCCCCGTCCTCCATGGAGGGACTTCGGTAGAATTTGGGGTGCGCGCGTGACGTCCCAGTGACAGCGGACTCGGGGCTACCCGGTCGCTCCCCCCCCACCCGGAGGACCATCCCCAAATCTCCAGACCCCGCTGTCAGCTCCAGCCTCCCTCCTCTCCGCCCTGGGCGGTGGGGACCGAGGCGGCGGGAGGTGCACCTCGGGCACCTGGAGCGGTGAGCGCGGAGGGGCGCGCGCCGAGCTCAGACCCCGGCCGGGCTGGGAGGCTGGGATCTCGGGGTGGAGCTGGCGCGCGGCCGAATGGTGGGAGGGGACAGGTTGGGGGTGGTCTCTGAGGAGGAGCCAGGCCGGACCGCCTTGTTCCGCCTCGGCTGCCCGGAGTGCGCGGTGCGGGCTGGGGAGGGCGCGTGAGGCGCAGGGCTTCCCAGGCTCCCCTGACCGCCCTAGCCCCGTGGGCGCGAGGAGAGGCAGGGGCCCCTGCACGCCCCGAGACGCCAGTGTCAGTGACTCCCGTTGGGGCGCAGGCTTCCGAGGCAGCCCCGAGAGAGGGGTGGTCTGCGCCTGCGCCCCCGGGAGTCTCCATTCAGGCCACGCAGTGCGCGCCGCATAGCCCCCTCCGCGATCACTGACCCCGAGACAGGGAGAGGGTCGCAGATCCGTCGCTTCCCAGGAGTCCGGCCCCCCGCGATGGCCGCCGGCCGGCACCGCCTTGTCCTCCCCGCACCGCTGTGCGCACCCCGGGGCGTCCCCGCCTAGCGGGGCCAGCGGGATGGGGGGCGGCGGGTCCGCCCTGAGGGTCTGCTCCGACCACCGCGGGGGCATCAACTGGCTGAGTCTGAGCCCCGACGGGCAGCGCCTGCTGACGGGCAGCGAGGACGGCACGGCCCGGCTCTGGAGCACTGCGAACGGCCAGTGTTGCGCGCTCCTGCAAGGTACCGCCGCGCGCGACCCTCCGGGCCTCCTAGTTGCGCGCCCACCTGAGCCAGTCCGGGGACCCCAGCAATCCTCCCCGCCACTCCTTACCAGAATCCAGCGCTGCCCCTCGCGGCACCCCGGGGAGCGTCCGATCCCTGTGTGTCCAGGGCGCGGAGGGCGGAGGAGGAGGTGGGGAGCCCGGGCCGGAATGGGTGCCGAGGGTCAGGTGGTCCACGGGGCGGGAGGGGCGCCGCCGCAGAGCCAAGGTCCTTTGTCAACTCGCGGCCTGAAATCATTACTACAACAATTTCAGCAAATTTAAAGAAGTCGCACCTAAACTCCTTCTAAGCAAACCTTTCCTGTAGCTCGTTGACCTGGTGACCTGTGGCAACAATTCCTGTTTGGCTCCTTAGGGGGAACAAGAGGAACTTGTTGGGGTGGTGGTGCTGTGCCCAGTGTGTCCTTTTATTGTGTCACCCTACATACAGACGTGGAACTGAGGCTCAGGGTTCAGTAACTTGCCTGGGCCTTGCAGCCTGTGAGTAAAGGGATTATTCCTCCACCCTCTCTCTCCACCACCTTGCCCAGCCCTCTGCCACTTCATCTCTGTCCGTGGGATTGTTCTGAAGTTTCCCCTAAGGGGGCGGATATTAGGTCTGTTTTGCATATCAAACGTGGAAGGGTGAGTGTAGTCCCTTGGAGACACTGTACACGTGTTGATTTATATTTGCATTCTCATTCTGTGGACAGTGTGAGCCCAGGTGCATCCTGCCCAGGCCTCTCCAGTGTCTGCAGCCTGAGGTCCCTCCCAGCCCCAGCCCCAGCACTGTGGCCCCTTGGTGAGGAGAGCTTTCTGCGCCAATATAGCTCTTTATCTGGGTGCTGGTTTTTCTGCCAGAATCAGCAAATCCTGGGTGGCCACACCCAGCCCTTCCAGCTGAGATAGGATGTTGGCCTGGATGTCAGATGATCCAGTCACTACTGCATTCAGGCAGAGCATAGTTAGGTTAGATGTCTCAGAGCCCAGTGGGGATGGATTTGGATTACTGGTGCTTGAGAGCTGGGGTGGATAATGGAGAGTTGGCCACAAGTAACACATGCCCCTCCCCTCCTCCCCAAACAGCCACATGCTCTGACTGGAAGCCCTGTAAGAGCTGAGGTCTAGCTGGGGATTTAGCTCAGTGGTGCCGCCACCTACCTCACAAGCGCAAGGTCCTGAGTTCGATCCCCAGTACCAAAAATTTAAAAAAGAGCTAGTCGGGGTTTTAGCTCAGTGGTTCTGGTGCCTGCCTTGCAAGCGCAAGGTCCCGAGTTCGATCCCCAGTACCAAAAAAACAAAGAAAAGAAAACAAGATTTCACTCCTGAGAAAAAGAGCTGAGGTCTGTTAGAAAATTTCAGTGCCTCATGTGTGCTTCCCGAACATAAGACTGGAGTGTGTTTCAGAAATGCAGATTCTTGGGGCTGAACTCCATGGATCCTAGAAGTGGCATTTGGAAGAGGCTTTCAGGGGCTCTGACACATGGCCAACCCCGGGCAGCCTCAGTGCTAGGTAGATTTCTCCCTGGTTGAGCTATGCTTTGTCCAGGCTGGTTCTCGAAGGTGGGCATCAGCTTGTCCCAGGGCAGCCCGACCAAGCCACGGCAATGTGTCTGCCCTCCGGGACCCCACACCATTTTGGTGGCTGTCACAACCTAGCCATCTGTCCACGTAAGCCACTGACACCTGGCCTCCGCTGAGGGCCCACCCCACTCCAGCGGAAATGTGTTGAAGAACTTCCCATTCCTACCAGGATTGAGTCTGTGCTTATAGAGGTGGCATTTCAAAATTTTCAAGGAAACTGGGGTTGGTGGCACACACCTGTAGTCCCAGCACTTAGGAGGCTGAGGCAGGAGAATCACTGTGAGTTTGTGCCCAGCCTGGGCTACAAGGTGAGTTCAAGGCCAGTCTAAAAAAACCCTGTCTCAAAAAACAAAATAAACAAACCAGAGAAACTTTCAAGAACAGAGAGGACAAAGGAATCCTTTCTTTATCTGAACATCCTGCTTACAGACTTAACTTGCAGGAAGCACTGTGGGCATATGACAGTCCTTTTGTGTGCTCCCTCTCCAAAGCAAGATCTTGCCAACTCCTTCCTCCTGGAGGGCTTTTTTTTTGTTCCAGTGAAATATTAGTAAGATGTCTTAATATTTGTTTAGTACTGTATGTCCAATAGATATGCATCTCTGTGCATCTTTATTATGTGGTTAATCATCTGGGTGGGGGCAGATGTGACCCACATCAGGATTATGGATGGGAACTGGGAGGCGTAGACTTATTTACCAACACAGAACATCCTGATTTCTAGACACTGGCCCTGGGTGGGTGCGGGCCTCAGAGTCCCCTGAGGTGCCCATTGCAGGACTTGTCCAAGGTCACAGGGCCACAGGTGGATGGCAGAGAGGGCTTTGTCCCGCTATGTGGCTGCTGCTTGCACTCGGGGTGCAGGGGAAGTTGTGCCCAGGCCACGTGGCCAGCCGGAGGAGCCCTAACCCCTAGGCCCCACGTTCATCTTTCCACTCTTGTGGAAAGCTCCCACTGGAAGCCAGTTGCTGGCTCAGTCCCGGATTTCCTGGGAAGAGTAGTTGGGGTTGGCGACTCTGCCCGGAGCTTTTCCTCCACACCTCAGTGCAGGCAGAGTGGGGACCAGAAGCTTGAAAGTTTGGGCCAAGGAGTGGGAGGAATGGAGACGGGACAGGGGCTGCCCACTGTGGATGGATGCTCTGGACGGCCCTGGGACAGCTGTAGAATTGTCACCCAGGTGCCAGGCTGCCCGCCTCATTTACAAATCAGAATGGGCCTTCTGATGCAGCTGGTGAACTCCCAGCAGAGAAAGAAGACTTAATTGTGGGTCATTCCATAAAGAGAAGAACTGCTTGGGCTATAATTATCCCTCAGCCTCCCTGGCCTGGACAGCTGTTCCCCATGTGCTACAAGGGTCAGAGTAATGCCAAGAGCATGCATGGTTCCATGCCTGTCACCATGTACACAGGGTGATAGAAACATGGGGAATGTTTACATTTTTAAAATTATTACAGTGAAAGACACCCAGTGGGTATCTCATTCTGTGGGTCACTGAGACAGGCAATGTTTCCTCAAATGGCAGGGCATGTTCTGTTCAGTTCTGGTTCAGTAAGGGGCTCAGCCCGAAGGTCCCAGCCCATGGTGGCTGCCTCTGTAGTGTCCTCCGTCTCTCATATGTGTCCAGTGAGCCAGGGTTGCATTTGGACAGGCTCAGGGCACAGGGGTGTCCTCAGCTATTGGGTATGGAGGGCCCTCTGTAGGTGCCACTTGAGAAGGTTGCTGGGAGAGGCCCACAGCTGGCCTGAGAATGTGCCGGAAGGAGTAGATCCTGTTGCAACACATGGGTGACAGGAGGCTGGGAACAGAGGTCCAGGAAGCCCCGGTTATAGCCCTTGTCAGGTCTGCCACAGGTTTGGTGCTTCCAGCTGCATTGCCTGCCAAGTAGGTAGCTGGGGAGGTCTAAGGAAGGGGGTGCTGCAGAGTGGGCAGAGGACAGAACCAGCAGGGCTGTCACCTCCTCTCCCAGGGCCACAGTCACTGCATTTTGGAGATAGCTGTGGCAACAGGGCTCCTTCGAGGACACGGTGACCTTCGTGGACGCATAGTGAGCCTGAGTGGCCCTCTGGGTTAGAGAAGGGTGGAATCCTGACCCAAATCTCCCTGTGCCCGTTTTCGGAATCCACCCAGAAGTGGGAAGGCCAGGAGTAGCACTTGAGGTCCATGCAGTGGGAGCCAAGAACAGGGATGGTGAGGGACAGGCTGGTGTGGACAGCGGGGTCAGGTGACCAGGACAACTCTTCCCATGTGCTACAAGGGTTGGGGAAGTCCCAAAACAAGTGGCCAACCCTGTCATCATGTATGCAGTGTGATTTAAGCACATGGTGAATGTTTAAGTTTTAAAAATTATTGCAATGAAAGACACATTGTGATGAATCCCCTCAAAATATTCCTCCTTGCTTTGAACACACTGATCCCATCATTCTTGCTCTTTTCTGAAGGAGCTCTGTAAGTCCTTTCCTGAGAGTCTTTAATTCGCTGTCGTGGCTGCCTTGAAGTACAGAACTGATTCAGAACATTCACCTTGCATGGTCACTCTGACTTTGAGAAAGAGGGAGCGGTCACACAGTGCCAGATCCAGTAACTAAGGTGGATGAGGACACAGTATCTTTTTTTTTTTTGGTACCAGGGCTAGAACTCGGGTCCTTGCACTTGCGCAGCAGGTAGCAGGCAGCGAAACCACTGAGGCAAATCCCCGGCCCTATCTTTTTTTTTTGAAATGTGGTCTTGTTATGTAGTTCAGGCTGGCCTCGAACTCCAGGCTCTCCTCTTGCCTTAGCCTCCTGAGTGCTGGGATTACCGGCAAGTACCGCCACACTTGGCCCCAGGGTCATGTTTTTATGATCCTGCCTTTCCATTAGGTGGCACTCAATGGCAGCATCCACTATATTCTTATCATACTGCATAGACATTCAGGAAAGAGCACTTCCAGACCTGCTTCAGAAAGTGGCTAGAACAGTGGGATAAGTATGTTGGAAGCAAAGAGGAATTAATGGCAATGTGTCTTATACTGTAATAAATTTCTTCCCCATGCATTTTGACCATACCTCCCAGCTGTGGGAACAGCCGGCTGCCTCACTGCTGGGACCCAGAGAGGGAAAGCTGTCCAAGGCATGCCCCCCTTGGGGGTCACCCATGGCCTAGGCCCCCTGAACTGCCTTTCCTGGAAGGGCAGGCACAGTGTGACCCGGCCCCGCAGCCCTCAGGGCACAGGGAGGGAAAGGGCTGAAGCCTTGGCAAGCAACCTTGGCGTCTCAGTTTGTTCTGTTGAACATAACTACATCTTATCTGCATTCTTTATCCCTTTGAAAATATTTATTTTCAGTTCTACATTTTTGCTTATTCTGTACAACTAACAGCTGAAGGCTGAGGCCTGTGGTCCCCTGAGGTGTGACAGGCTCCGGGCTCTGGGCTGTGGCTCCTCCCGCCCTCTGGATGACCCGTGAGCCCCGGGCCTGACCTGTCTGAGATTCTGCAGAATGCAGGTCACGGGGGTCAGGGTCACACTGTGCAGCGGCGCTGGAGAGGAGACATACTTGGCAGTGTTCCAGTCCTGCTGCTGCGAGCTCCACCCTGGACCATTTTCTGAAGTGGTCTGAGTGCTTGGGAACAGAGGGGCTCAGTTCCTGGATAGATGGCAGAGGACAGGGAACAGGGGACACCCGGCCAGCCTGGCTCAGGCTCAGAAATGAGGCTTTGTATATTGAAAAGACCTAGGATCTGGGATGTGGCTCTGTGGCAGAGTGCCTGGCCCTGCAAAAGCAAAACTGAATCAAAGCCCTTAACTTCTATTTATCATCGCCTCTTTTCTCCCAGTCTTCATGTGCATTTTCATGTTTAGGGATTTGCGAGCTGTGCCTATATCCTTGCTTCCATACCCCTGTTGTGAAGCAGCCCCCCTTGGCGGTTGGCAGCTTTGGTTCTAGGGAGTACAGGTGTGCCTGTTGCTCACTGGCCACACTCACTCTTGGTGCTTTTCTTGGTTTAATTTACCCCTCACCTCCGGCCTTTTACCTTTCTGTCACTTGGAGGGACAGAGCAGCTGGCGCAGCTGGATCAGCCTCTCTTGGCCTCGGGCAGCTGTGGCCCAGGGTCCTTAAGTGGCAGGAGAGGCAAGGCCTCTGCAGGCTGCTGTGGTCCAGCCTGTGGCTGGCCTTAGCACCCCTTGGCTGCCACCCCATCCTGGGTGTCCCTGGCACTCTGGTGGCTCTTCTTTGGGCTCTGTGCTCCGGTTGCCCTCACCGCAGTGACTGCAGGGAGGATGGGGATAGATCTGGTCTCAAAGCAAGAAGGTTGACAGCCTTAAAATATTTTATAAACTCCTTGGGATTGGCAAAAATCCTGGCTGTGTTTTACCAAACATATTTTGCCCTTAACTTTTACACCAACATGTATTTTAAGAGAAACATAATCTGCCATTTCTTCAAGTGTTTACTTAATTCTTACATTGTTTTCAGAACAGTGCTCTCCGAAAGACAAAAGCTTTCCTTTTTTTTTTTTAAATTGGGGTTTTGAGAACCCAGGAGGTCGAGTTCATCTAAAAGTTAACTAAGCTGAAGCCCAGAACAAAAATAAAAGATGCATCAGTTTTACAGAACCTAGGAGATTATGAAACCCTTGTCCACCTGACATTGGCTGCCTAAATGAAATGACAGTGATGACGATAATGATGATGATTTTGCTGGTACTGGGGAGTGAACCCAGGGCCTTTGTACTGAGCTACTTTGCTAGCCCTTTTTTGGTAGTTTTTAAATTTTGAGACAGGGTCCTGCTAAGTTACCAAGTCTGGGCTGGAACTTTCGATCCTCCTGCCTCAGCCTCCCAGGGTGCTGGGATTACAGGCATTGCCATGACTCCTGGCTGAGATTTAAAATCAGATTAAAATTCCCTCATCTCTGACCTTCGGCAGCCCTAGTTTGGTGGCCAAAGCTCCACTGAGTGAGGTACCATTGCTCAGCCACAACTCATTCTTAAGTGATTTTCTTGGTTCAATTTAAGATCAAAAAGTCTTTAAGGGGCCGGGGATTTAGCTCAGTGGTTCCAGCGCCTGCCTGTCAAGTGCAAGGTCCCGAGTTTGACCCCCGGTACCAAAACAAAACAAAACAAAACTCTTTAAAACAAAATCCTTATTGTAATAATATGGCCTGCCAGTTATGTGGGTGTTCAAATTCATCAGATCCCTCTTCTGTAAAAATAGTTTCAGATTCCTTTGATTCCCTTGGTTTTCTGGTCTCCACATTCCTCGAAGGTGTACTCAGTGTCAAAAGTTCTTCTCCCACATGAGACATCCTTCCCTGGAGGTTAAGCCCAACTGGATCGGAGACCCTGAGGGCTTCCAGGGCTGCTCGATTTTGTCCCAGGCGGAAACACTGGTCTCTGCTGCCTGGGCAGTTGGCAAAAGGTACAGCATCTGCCTTGGAAGGTGGTGGCAGACGGGACCAGCTTGACGCCAGACAGGTGTGCACGCCCCATCCCCGACCCTGCATGGCCCTCTGCCTTTGGGCCCCAGCCTCATATCTGCGGAGCACCAACCACCAGGCCTGAGAAGCTCCTCGAGTCTCCAGTGTGCAGCCCCAACTCTGCTCTCCCCTGCTAGAGCCGCCCTATCTTCAGCGTCCCCTGAAAGTGCCCGGCCTGGTAACTGCAGGCCCCTCCCACCGACTGCACGGCTGGGCTGGGTTCTCAGAAGGTGAGAGGCGTCCTCAGTGTCTCCCTCTGTCCCCTGTCCCCATCATTGGAACACTAGGTGCTTTGAAGCAACTACAGCTTATTCTTGCCTGGTTGCTGAAGGCTGAAGTCCAAAATCAGTGTCCCTGGGCCAAGCTGAGGTGTCAGCAGGGCCAACTCCTGAAACCTCAAGGGGACGATCTGTTTGGTGGCTGCCAGCACTCCTTGGCTTGTGGCCGTTCCATGTGGGCTTCTCTTTGGTGTAAGGACACTCTCGATTGGTGTTTAGGGCCACCCTGTGCGATCCCAGCGCATCTGCCCCCGTCAGCACCCTCAACTCAGTCACATCTGCCACATGGCTTTTCCGGGTAAGGTGACGTTGGCGGTCCTGTAACCGCCCAGGACCTGACAGCTGCTGCTCCCACCACTGCTGTATTTCAGCGTGAGCATAAGAAAAGGAGCTGACACACAGCATCCACCAGGTGCTTGCCACTGTAACTGCAGGGTGACCTGTGCCGTGGAGATTGTCCCTGTCCCCGTTCCAAGTGAGGGAGGAGCCACATGGGGAGAGGTGGCAGAATGAATCCAGGCAGCAGCAGCACTAAGGGCCCACCCACCCACCCCCGCTCCTTCCACCTCCATAATGTTGTGTTTGCTGAGCACGTAGAGCTCCAAGTATGTGGAAGACTAAAAGGAAATGCCAGGCATAGGTGCGCACGCCGGTAATCCCAGCGGTCAGGAGGCTGAGGCAGGAGGATCACTGAGGCCAGGCTCGGCTACATAGTGAGTTCAAGGCTGGACCCTGTCTCAAACAAACAAAAGAAAACAGAAGGTCAAAGAGGGGGAGAAAAGGAGATCTTGGGAGACTGAGCATGGGTTTGGGGGCGGGTGAGCTCCCTGCACTGTTCCTGGTGCACCTGGGGTCCGACACCCACACCGTCAACTACAGAGTGCCACCTGCCCTTCCACCTGGCCCTCCTCTCTCCCTTCTCCTTCCAAACTTGCTTCCCAGAAGAAAGCAGGAGCTGGTGCTGCCCCCGAAGGGCGACTCACAGGCCCTCTCGCCTGCAGGGCACGAGAGCTACGTGACCTTCTGCCAGCTGGAGGACGGGGCCGCCTTCACCTGCAGCGCCGACTGCACCATCCGGCGGTGGGACTTGCACACAGGCCAGTGTGTGCAGGTGTACCAGGGACACACGTCCATCGTCAACAGGTCGGCCTGGCGGGCGGGGCTGCTGGCCAGGCAGAGGGAGACAGAGGCCAGAAATGTGGGTTCTTGGGAAACTCAGTAAGTGGAAGGGAGCACACGGCACCTGAGCCCCAGGACAGAAGTGTCCCTAGGCCCAAGTGCTAAGTGCCTGGGGCTGCTTGGGTGTTCGGGATTTGGGAGGAGGAGGGATCGGGCTGGACACCCCTGCCAGGAGCCTGGCACCATGCTTGCCCCTGCTGGGTGCAGGGAGAGCCACCCCGCCTACTGGTGGGGATGTTCCAGGGGGGCTGCAAATTGGTACCTGAGGGTAGACTGAGGGTTCTGAGGGGGAGATTGTCCTGCAGATGCAACTGAGGGTGTTTGTAAGCCTCTTTCCAGGCAGCTGTCAGAAGCACACCCTCTCCTCCTCTAGGTCTAGATTTTTCCTTTCCTTATTGAGTCTGGGGTGGAGCGGGGTCTTGGAAATGCCTTTGCTGATCAGATCATTTTGATACCTGTGATGGTTGCCCCAGGCTCCCCAGGGGTCCCTTAAAGCCACGTTGGCAGAAGGACCCTGCCTGGGAGGAGCCCAAGGGCTGGGCTGAGCAGGTACAGAGGAGAGGATGTGCCAAAGCCAGGGCCACTGGTGGGCAACAGGGACAGACCAGACATGGTGGTAATCCCGGCACTCAGGAGCCTGAGGCAGGAGAATTGCTGTGAGTTTGAGGCCAGCCTGGACTACTGTCACCTACTTCTCAGAAGTGGAAAAGGGTGATTCAAGGTGGAAATTATGCTTTGCCAGGTTTACTGACCAAGGTGCACACGTGTGCACATAAACCCAAAAGAAATGCACTCATACACAGGTACACAGCACGTTGCCCATACATACTACATGCACACATGAATCACCTACACACAAACACACAATCACAGCATGATGCACTTACACATATACACTTGTACAGTGCACACCTGTGCACACACAGACATTCTACAGATACTACCTTCCATCTGTGTCTGTCTTAGCCCCCTGCCCTGGGTACACTTTGGCACCATGAAATAGCTGAGTTCCAGTGCGGGGACCCAGAACTCACTTCCTCCCATTGTTTCTGAGATGGCCAGGCAGATGAGCTTTGGAGACACTGATCCTTTAGTGGCCTGGTATCCAGCCATCACACTGTGCCACACCTTGGCAGGACGCAGCTGCCATCCCCATTCCCCAGAGCCTTCCCACAACATCACCTGCTGTGACACGATCTGAACCTGGAGCTGGGGTGTGGCCCCGTGGTAGTGTGCTTGCGTAGTGTGTGCCAGGCCTTGGGTTCCATCCCCAGAACTGCAAAGAGGAAAAGGAAAAACCCTGCATCTACTGCATGCCCTAGGGAAGAAGCCAGTCAGGGGAGTTGAAATTTCATGCAGTTTGCATCAGTTCGCCACTTGTAGGAAAGGACACCAGGCTCAAGTTCTCCTGGGAAGAGCAGAAGCCATTGCCAGTCCTGGCCTGAGTGGGTCCTTGCTCCGCACCAGCAGGGAGGCAACCTGGTCCAGCTGCCAACCCTGCTGGGCCCTGGGTGGCCTTGTCCCTGGGGTGTGGGACCTAACAAGGGACCGTAAACAGCCTTTGAAGTTCTGTACTAAAGGTGAATGCGCTTCTGTTTTTCCTGGGGAGAAGTTCACAGAGTTCCGTAAAATGAGAAGTCATGAATATTTCCTGCCCAGATGGCCCTGGGCCTGAGGTCAGCCAGCTCCGAGAAATCAAGGGCTCCTCCTAGCCTTCCACCCAACAGTTCCCTGGCCCCAGCCAGTCCCAGCCTGGGTTCCCACGGGGGCTGTGACCCGGAGCTGCCCAGTCACCTGTGTGATGGTCACTCTGTGAGTTGATAGCAGAGTCCACCCCACCACTGCAGCTTTGCTTCCCATCACCCAGGGGGACACAGCAGACCCAGTGAGGTGGGAAAGGCTCTGGAATTCCTCACTGCCCCCTCGGAAATGCCTCTGCCATCCAGTGGATCAAAGCCATTCCCCGGTGGCCAGCTGGTCTCACTTAGCCCTGGAATTTCCTGATTTTCACTGGAAAGTCCTGCATTCCCAGAAACCTGGGCAGACCAGAAGGGGTAGCCACCTCACCTGTCCCTTTCATCCTGCTGTCAGTTACTTTCTTGTTGCTGAAAGGAGGAAGGTTTATTTGGCTCACAGTTTGTAGAGGTTTTAGTCCAGGCTGCTGGGTCCAAGTGAGGGGGCCATGGCAGAGGAGAAATAGTCCATGGCAAAAAGGCAGGTGAGGAGAGCACATCAGCCCTCTTTCTGTTCCTCATATCCTGTGAGGCTACCTGCCTTCGTCCTAGCCAGAACTATGCCAAACCAATCAGTGGACTGATTTAGTAATCACACACCCTTGATCCCAGCACCATACACGCTAGATCCAGCCACCTGTGAAAAGCACCCCCTATGACTGCATGAGGCACTGGGGGGACATCGAGACACAGCCATGACATTCTGCCCCTGGGCCCCCAAAGACTCATGCACATCCCTTTATGCAAAAGGCCATCTCCCAGAGTTGCCAAAGTCCTCGCATTTTCCCCATTGCTGGAAAGTCCAGTCTCCTCTTGAGATTTAAATCACTCTTAGCTGCAAGCCCCTGAACAAATGAAAAGAAAGCTAAACACTTCCAATATGCAAAGGCACAAGATGGACATTTACATCCCAAAAGGTACAAATAGGGAGATAAAATAGGGAGGGGAGGGGGATTGAGGGGGGGAATGGGATAAAATAAAATTTATTTTAAAAAAATAGATACAAAGGAATGGGACCAAAACAAATCCAAAATCCAGCAGGGCAAACATTAAGTCCTGTAGTCCCACTTCCAGTATCCCCAGCAGTCTGTGAGAGTTGTAAACTCCAAAGGGCGCCGGTAGTTTTAGCTCCCATGGCTTCTCTCTGGGGCCAGCTCTGCTCCCTCCTTGCAGCTTTCCTCAGATGGTCCACACTTCTGGCTTCTCCAAACCTCTGGGGTCTACACTGCATCTTTGGCTTCACACTCACAGCTTCACACATTGCCCTCTCAGGGGCACACTTCCTGGCCTCCCAGGCCTTCTGAAATCTGAGTGGAAGCCTTCCTGACCCTACAACTCTTGCATTCTGAGCTGTTCTTTGTTGTTTTGAGACAGGGTCTTGCTTTGTAGTTCAGGCCAGCCTTGAGCTCACTATGTAGCCCAGAGTGGCCTCAAACCCATGGCAACCCTCCTGCCTGTCTCCTAAGTGCTAGGATTACAGGCACATGCCATTATGCCCAGCAATTCTTGTATTCTGCATGTACCTAAAACCAGCACCATGTGGGTGACATTGGGTCTGCCTCCAGCTGGAGCAGTAGCCAGGCTTCCTTCTCTCTTGGCTGTAAGGGTTGAGTGCCTGGATCACTGAGCACTCTGAACCCAGTCCCAAGGAACAAATTCTCTGGGCTGCCACCATTCTGGAACATGGTGCTCTGGGGGCTCTCTTCCCAAAGCAAAGTCTTTTACCATTGCAACTGTGAGGCTTCAAAGACTGGAGTCCTGCTGGTTCTTGTGATGCCCTCAGGCTATCTTTTCCATGTCTTCTGAAATACTTGGCTTTTTCTTGCAAGTCTTCAGGGACCAATTTCTCCTCTCTTCCATCTTTGCAGGCTACAACTTTACTGGAGCTTCCTTTCTAGCCAAACTAACAATGTTTTGAATCATTCTGCTGGGCTCTTTGCTTTGATTCTCAACATAAATCTGTCAAAAAGCACCCAATAGTAGCCATGCCATGGCTTCATTAGGCTGCCTTGAAATTTATTCTTCAAGATTAATTAGTCTGCTGCCTTTAATCTCAGTCTCAGGCAAAGTCTCTGGACATGAGCAAAATGCAGACAAAATTTCTGCCAAGATATAACACACATTATCTGGAGTCCAGCAGTCAGTGCAGTCTACAGCAGAAACCTCTGGAAGCTGGTCTTTACCGCAGTATTTCTATCAGTATTCTAGTCTTCTGAGCTCTGACCAGAATCTTCCATCAAGTACAGTCTTAGGTATTCCAGGGTTGCTTTTCCAGCTGGCATCTCCAAACCTTTCCAAACTCTTCCCATAAGCCAATTCCAAAGGCTTCTCCTGAACCACATGGTCAGGTATAGTCAGGTCCCACTTCTGGTACCTAATTTCTGTCTTAGTTACTTTTCTCATTGGTGAGACAAAATACCTGACATCCAAAGTTAAAGGAGGAAAAGTTTATTTGGGTTAGTTTTTTGAGGTTTCAGTCCATAATTGGCTGGCTCCAAGACAGGGTGGCATGGCAGAGGGGCATCACAGAGGAGAAATAGTCCACGGCAAGCAGACAGGTGAGAGCACGTTAGCTCTCTTTCTGTCCCTTATATTCTATGCAGGCTACTGCCCGAAGGCAGGGGTAGCATTCACACTCTTAGTCCTAGCCAGAACTATACCAAACCAACCGGTGGACTGATTTAGTAATCGTATATTCTTTTTTTTTGTTTTGGTACCAGGGATCCAACTTGGGTCCTTGCGCTTGCGCAGCAGGTGGCGAAACCACTGAGCTCAATCCCCAGTCCTTAGTAATCATATACTCTTGAGTACAGCACCACACACTCTAGATCTAGCCACCTGTGAAAAGTGGCCCCCATGTCTCCATGAGGCTTTGGGGGGACATCTAGACACAAGCTATAATGCCTATCTTCATACCTATACAGCTCTGTGGAGCCACTACTGTGAGCAGAGCAAGGATACAAGGTCTGAGTCTTGATCCCTGCTAGGTCTGAGCCTTGGTTTCTATTGGATCTGAGCCTTGATCCCTGCTGCAGTAGGGGCTAGGCCAGCAGGGGCTCAGATCATCCAGTCAGGGAGGGGTGCCTGACAGGGAATCAGGGAGGATGGCATTTTGTAGGAGGGCATTTTGACCTTGACCCTGGAAGATGAGTGTGGTAGGTGGCCAGAGAGCAGGAGGCTATCCTGCTGCAGTGCTCCTGGAGCTTGAATGGATTCTGGCAATGCTCTGTGCCCTGACCGCTGCCTTTCACCTCTTGCTCCAGGATCCTGGTTGCCAACAACCAGCTCTTCAGCAGCTCCTATGACCGGACAGCTCGCGTCTGGTCTGTGGACAAGGGGCAGGTGTCCCGGGAGTTTCGGGGCCATCGAAACTGCGTCCTGACCTTGGCCTACTCTGCCCCCTGGGATGCTCCCTGTGTAGAGGAAGCTGAGGCCAGGGGCCTCCTGGTGACAGGCAGCACAGATGGCACAGCCAAGGTGTGGCAGGTGGCCAGTGGCTGCTGCCACCAGACGCTGCGGGGCCACACGGGTGCCGTGCTGTGCCTAGTGCTGGATGAGCTTGGCCGCACAGCCTTCACGGGCAGCACCGATGCCACCATCCGAGCCTGGGACATCCTGAGCGGGGAGCAGCTGCGCGTGTTCCGAGAGCACCAGGGCTCCATCATCTGCCTGGAGGTGAGAGGTGCAGGCTGCCCGGGGTCTCAGGTGCACCTCGGAGTTGCCATGCCTCTGTGTGCCAGCTGGCTCTGGCTGGGGACAGAGCCTCGGGGGCAGGGCTTAGAGCCCAGAAGTCAGAGATCAAGGTGTCTGTCACAAGGCCAGCTGCTCTTTAGGCCTCTCCTTGGCTTGTGGATGAGTCATCCGTGTGTGTCTGTGTCCTAATCTCTCTTTACCTGGACATCGATCAGATTGGATTAGGACCCACCCTAATGACTTCATTTTAAATTAAATTACCTCTTTAAACATCATATCTCAAAATAAAGTCACAAAAGCCGGGAGTGGTGGTGCACGCCTGTAATCCTAGCATTCAGGAGGAAGCTGAGGCAGGAGGATCACTTTGAGTTCAAGGCCTGCCTGGGCTACATAGTGAGTTCAAGGCCAGTTTGAATGACACAGTGAGAGCCTGTCCTTTTTTTTTTTTTGGTACTGGGGATCGAACTCGGGTCCTTGCCCTTGTGCAGCAGGAGGCTAAACCACTGAGCTAAATCCCTGGCCCCGAGCCTGTCTTTAAAAACAACAAAAACAAAGGGCCCTTTGGCTGGCAGGAACCGTGCTCTAGAACCCTGCTGAAGCTGACTGGAGCTAGTGGGCGGTTGCATGTGTCCCTGTCCTTGGGGAGTGGACCAGTTAGGGAGGCCACATGTTCAGAAGCCGACTGGATGAAGCCTGGTGGCTGCTGTGTCTCAGCTCTGCCAATCCTGTGCCGGGGGGAAGGACCAGCTGGACTCAGTGCTTCTGAAGGGGGTGTGGGTGGGGGAGCCTTGGGCCAGGGTCTCCCCACTCTGACCTGTGCGCAACCTCTCCCCATGCTGTTGCCCCGGCTGACCCTCCCCACCCCCACACAGCTTGTGGAGCAGCTGTTGTACTCGGGCAGCGCCGACAGGACCGTCAAGTGCTGGCTGGCAGACGCCGGGCAGTGTGTGCGCACCTTCCCCGCCCACCGCCGCAGTGTGAGCGCCCTCAAATTCCACGCGGGGACCTGTAAGTGACTGTCTTGGCCCAGTGCCCCTACACCCTCTGGCTTCCGGCGTGGGTGTGGTTTTCCCTTACTGAGCCTCAGCTGGGATCCCGGATCCAGGGATCCAAAGGCAGGGCCCTTCCCTGTCTGTTCAGAGATGGTCTCTTGGGGGTGTGGGGCTCATCCCACCTCTAGGAGAAAGAACGTAAAGCCGGGAGTGGTGGTGCACACCTGTAATCCTAGCTCTCAGGAAGCTGAGGCAGGAGTGCTTCAAATTTGAGCCCAAGCCTGGGTGCATAGTAAGTTCAAGGTCAGTGTGGACTACACAGTGAGACCGTGTCTCAAAACAACACCACCAACAACAAAAGGTGGGGTGACTCAAATCTTCAGAGGTCCTGGGGTGAAAAGCCTGTCCCAAGAACACATTCTGACTCTCCAAGTGAGACTGTGCTACCTTTTAACCCAGCCAGATTCAAGGTGTGGTGGGTTTGGCCTCACTTGGGCTTAGGTTTGAGCACAGATAACAGAAAATCCAGGTGTCGAGGTTTAAATGAGGCAGTGGATATTTTTCTCTCAGGTTGGTACTCTAGGAGATTCCACAGAGCCACTGGGTACCCAGATCCTTTCTATCACTTTGCCCACCTATTCACCCCCAGTCTTCTTCCTCATGTTTCACGATAGCTGCTTGTATTGTGTTTTAGGCAGGCAGAAGAGGAAGGGTAAAGGGATGCATCTCCTAGCTGAGAAGGGCCCATTAAGATGGTTCCCAGAAGCCCCACTGAAAGGTCTTTGCATGTAGCTCTTAGAACTCTGCCTGCAAAAAAAAAAAAAAAGAACGCTTGCCTGCAAGAGAGGCTTAAGTAGGGTCTTTCATCTGGGACATTACTGGAAAGTTGAGTCAGGCTTCTTTTGGAAAACAAGAAGGGCAGATTGTCTCAAACTGCTGGCTCTGTCCAGTTGGCTGGACACGTTTACACCTGGCACACGGCCCCCTCGGGAAGCAGCCCCACTCCAGCACAGAGCGTGGGACTGTAGCCCCCAAGGCCCCGCCTTTGCTCCCCCTGTTATCACAAGCCCAGCAGCAGCAGTCAATGCTTTTGGGGCCTGAGTGTCCCCCAAGAATGGGGGAGGGAAGAGTCACCCGGAAAATTCCAGTTGACCTCACAGCCAAGGTGCTGGGGGGAAAAAATGGGTTTCTGTAAACATAGCATGGGGAGCCCTTGGGACTTAGGCGTGGGCCTGGAGCGGTTATTTTTGCCTTCTTCTGTGTCCAAACCTGGACATGTGGTTGTGATCCTGCTCCCCAGCAAAGATCTGTAATGGAGAAGGACAGAGGTCCCTACAGCGCCCCCTCAGCAGCAGCCAGATGATTAAGACTTTACTCCCGCCCCTCTGCCCTCTCACCCAATGCCCACAACACTCTGCTTTCCTGGGGTCCTGACTCTTTGAGTTTGAGGGGGGCAGGCGAGGAGCTGAGGAGAGTGTCAAGGTCGTGTTCACCCAGGAGCTCAGGCAGGCTGAGCACGGGCAGGGGGAGTGGGTGCAGGCTGACATAAGACCAGGAGCCTCCCGGGAACCAGTTGGCTTTCCTGAGGAGCATGAGTGGGGACCTGGCTCGGAAACTTGGGGCATCCCTCTGAGGCCCAACTCCCTGTCTTGTACTGCCTGGGAGGAGGTGGGCTGGGGAACTAAGAGAGTCCATGTGTCGCTGTTTGTTCAGTGTTCACAGGCAGCGGAGATGCCTGTGCCAGGGCATTTGATGCCCAGTCGGGAGCGCTGCAGAGAGTGTTCCGGGGCCATGCGCTTGTCATCAACTGCCTGCAGGTAGGCCTGGCCTGAGCCCTGCTCCCTGCTCCCCCAGAAGGGGACCCCTTCCAGCATCACCCTGAGGCCCCGTGCCTGACAGCCAGCCCACCCCTGCAGGTGCACGGCCATGTGCTGTACACAGCCTCGCACGACGGTGCGCTGCGCCTCTGGGATCTGCGTGGGCTCCAGGCCCCCTGCCCCAGGCCCACAGGCAAGCGCAGCCTGTCACGCCTCTTCAGCAACAGGGTGGCCTGCGTCACGGCTGTGCCCCTGCAGCCCACCTGAGCTAGAGGACACATCGCTTTCTGGGAACCAGAGGGCGGGCACCCGACCCTGGGCGAGAGCTGCCAGCTTCCCCAAGCCTCCAGGGATTCATCTTCTCCCCATCCCAAGCCCGGCCCCCTGGTCCACCCTGGGAGCCCCCAAGCTCCTGAAGGCCCCTGGGGAGTCCCTTTATGCAGAGAGTGGTAAGGGGGACTTCTTTACAAAAGCCACAGAACCAGATTGTTGCCTTGGAAAATTGTCACCGAAGTCCTCATGTAGAACTCAAATACACGTCTTCGAAGTTAACAGTGCTCTTGGGTACGTTTGTTCTGTCAACCAAATCTTGGCTCCCTTTGTGGACAGGGGACAGCTCTGCCTTCTGGCTGAGACTAGGGGCTGCCACCAATGTCACCGCAGACAGTGGCTGTGGAAGAGGCCAGGGAGTGAGGAGTTGGCATTGGGGTCCCTACTCTGGAGATTTTCCAGGGGCCTCACTCTGCTGGGCCTGCACAAATCGATGGCTGGCCCACACTGTGCCAGGCATGGTGGCACACACAGAGCCTCTGCAGCACAAGTGTCCTGCCAGGAGGAGTTGCAGGGGAGAGGCCAGGAGCCTCCCCAGCACCCTTGACCTCCCAAGGGGCACTCTTCAGCCCCTTGGTGCTTCCACTTTGTGCATCCACAGTGCCCTGTGCCAGTCCCTGGCTGGCTCCCAGTGTAGGACAATACAGGTGACTGTGCCTGACATGAAGAGCTTGGCATCTCGCTGGGAAGGCTCCTGGGTCAGCAGCCCACAGTGTTTCTCAGAGCACATGTGTTTCCCGGCCAAGGTATGCTGGCCCGCAGGTGCAATGCACTCTCTCCAGGATGCCAGGCCTGGTGGGCGATCTCATCACATGGGCAGAAAAAGATGCAGAGGTTTGTGATGGGGCTCTGGGCTGGACCCGGAAACACTGGGCAAGAGGGCTTCCTGGCACAGGTGCCGTTCTCTGGGAGCACTGGAGCACTCAGCCCCGTGGGGGGTGGGGGCATCACAACCACCACCTCTCCTCGAAGCTCTGTGGGTCAGCAAGGGGCTTCCTGCCAGGTGGAAGTGACGCTGCAGGAGGCAAGGCAGAGAACCAGGAGTTCCTGGGCTGGAACCCGTTCCTGCTCTGAGGCGATACTCACTGATGTGGCTAGGTGACATGCACTGGGGGCTTAGAGCCTCATCTCCTGCCACAGCAGAGCGAGACCCTCCCACCACCATCTGTCCAGAGCAGGAGCTGTTGAGGAGCTGCAGGCTGCTGTGAAACCACTGTAGCACAACAAACAACATGGGTGACTTTATTTCCATGCTGGTGCTGAGGATACAAGGATGAGATGTCCCTCTTCCTGGCTCCTAAGCCTGAGTCATGTGGTGAGTGCAGTTCAATGGCTGGTCTGCAGGAGAAAGCAGGGCTGGGGATGTAGGCATGCAAAACACTTGGTCCCCAGCACCACAAAATCTTTTTTTAAAAGGAAGAGAATAGTTGTTTGTCTCTGATCAATCTATTCAGTTGGCCAAGGGAGGGACAGAAAACTAAAGGATATCCGGGCAGAAAAATGGACAGCATGGCAGTGTCACCAGGCCCCGGGCAGACAGAATCTGATGACCAGGGGATCAGCATCAAGGGCACCAGCCAAGCACAGCCCATCACTGTGCAGCCTCAGGCTGACCTGGCCTCTGCACTGTGCCTGCCCCAGCTGGTCCTCTACCTGCCTGGGCTCCCTCCAGTCGGGCCCTGCCTGCCCTTCGAGGTTCTGGGGTTGATCTCAGCCACACTCTACCCCCACCCTTCCCTTCCACCCATGCCTGTGGGTCCAGAGGTGCCACAGAAAGCAAGGTGCTAAGGCTTTCCCCACCTAGCCACTTGTCCCAAATTTGGAATGCTATTTCGCCCGACTCCCCAAGGAGACCCCCAGCCCCAACTTGGTGCTCATCAGCCTGGTGTGGCTGTCTTGCCCTGGCCTTTTCCACCGGCATTAAAACTGGCAGGAATCACTTCTCGGCCTTTTGGCTAAGATCAAGTGTAAAACTGTCAGGAAGCAGAAGCCAGCCTGCTACCACGCCCAGGACTGGCCTCATTAGCCAGAGGGTTCAGGCAGCCCCCAAAGCCAGGTCCAGCACTGTCAAGTGAGGCCCATGCTCCTCACCGCCCTGGCTAACCCCCACATCTCATCAGAGCCCCAGGCCCTGATCTTTCCACGTAACCTCCCGACGCTGCTGTGAGGTCAGCCTTCTCCTTCCTCCCAACACTTGTGCCGGACACGGGTCCAGGTCACCAGGTTTAACACCACGGCTTTGCACAACTGACTGCAGGAGGCTGACAAATACACTTTTCATCTTTTATTTCCATCACCAGCATCATCATCATCCATTTTAAAAGATCAACAACAGAAGACTGCTGCTCAGATTTCCCATCTGGGCTGCTGTCCACTCTGCAAAAATCACAACATTGCAAGTGGGTTCCTGACAGTGGTGCACAGCTCACCCTGCCCTCAATCAGAGGAGCTTCCGGAAAGCAAGGGTCTCAGGAACACTCGGCACTTGGTCCACCCTGCACATGGCTGCTGCCAGCCATGCCCTAGGCATTAGGCAGGTGCTCGTCTAATGCACATCCAAGGGGACAGTTATTTGAGCCACACAAAGCTGATCACATCCCATTGGGAACCATCTTCTGTCACAAAAATTGTCACCCTAAACTGGGAGAAAATATGTCTAAATCTGATAGATCCCAGCAGTGAGTTCCTAGGACAGCAGTCTAAAAATGTTCATCCAAAATTATAAGCTGCTTTGGTTACCATTTAAAACTTCCATATTTAATAAAAGACTGTGTGGGGCCAGGGATTTAGCTCAAGGCACTGTGCCTTGCAAACGCAAGGTCGTGAGTTTGATCCCTGGTACCAAAACAAAACAAAACAAAACAAAAAACTGTGAAGCATTCTGGATGCGTATGAAGTCTGAATTTCAACCTTGAATTTCAAGTGTATGTTCTACTGACTGTGCAGAAAGCATTAGCCTTTCAGGAGGAAGGTCTGTGGCGCACCTTTATGCCCCCAGCAGTTGCAATGAAGCCCTAAGGGACAACTGTGGGTAGTGGGATGGGGACAGGGGCGCCAGTAGAGCTGGCATCACAGGAGGGATGACAGGATTTCTCCGCAGGTGGGGGAGGAAGCTAGGCACAAGGCTGGGTGACAGGAAGGGAAGCAGCCAGGTCTGTATGTCCCGCCTGTTCCCCACCCACTGGAGACCTTCCCCAGGGCCACCATGCCCTCAGAACAACAGCGAGCCAGCTCCCCACTGGTGGGTGTGAATCCAAGCAGGAAGGCAGAGTGAGGGCCCAGAAGCTGGGGACAGATGGGAACAGTCGGGCCGGGCCAGAGCCAGAGCCCCTTGTGGCCCTGGCAAAGCTCTCATCCCTGCGGGGTATCCTGCTTGCCTCTCCTACCGCGAGGAGGAGGTACGCATGAGCAGCATCAGAGGACAGCAAGAACAAAAGACCTGCGCTGTACTTTTCATAATGACAGAATTTATATGCAGAAATGTACTTATTCCTGTTCACGGCTTAGTTGGTTGCTGACTTTATATTTTCTACATAGGATAAGTACTCTGCAATAATAATTTCCTCATCTTCCAGAGTGGAGTCGAGATAATCTTCCTCATGCTCGGGAATGTCTTCCAGGATCTCATTGACAGCCTCCGTCTCCATGTCCTCGTCTGTTGAGGCGCTGGAGGTCCCTACAGGGAACACGGTGGGGGCGAGTGGGTTACCAAGGACACCTGTCCCAGGGACGCCAGCAGAATCACAGCCAGTGTCCTGCCAGCTCCAGCTCACATGGGCCTACCTGCGGAGTCTGAAGGGGACGTGGACGGTGTGGATGAGGAGTCTTTCTCCGACAGCTGCAGGTCAGGAGGGAGGCTGCCGCCATGGTGGGCGAGGGTCTGTGCCGCCAGCTGAATGCTGCCCCTGAATACCCGCAGTGCAGCTTCGGCCACCGCTGAGTCAAAGCCCATGTACACCAGCTAGGGCAGAGCACAGGGGGATGACTGTGACCGAGCCCCTCAGCTCATGGGCTACGTGAATCGCCATGTCCACACACTTGTCACCACAGGGCACAGCGAGGAGAGCCTTGTAAACAACTCCAGCACGAACACTGCTTGCCCTTCCTGACAAGTCACCCCTTATCCCTTATGTGCACAAGGCCTCCAGGAAAGGTCAAGTGAGGTCATCTTGGACAGGCCACCTCAGGCTGAATGCTATCACGCTCACCAGGAGTACTGTGAATTAAATGGCCACCATGTGCCATATAACAATGGGGGCAGCATGCAAGCAGCCATTGCTGGCACACAAGGAGCTGGGTTTCCATGGCAGAAACGGGGCTGATGGAAACAAGATGCTCTCCAGTTCTTCCAGCCCCCTTAAGGGAGTTTTTCCAGCCCTGTCAAGGGAGGCTGCACTCACTTGGTTAATGCCCTCCTGGGAAGGACTCTCGAGGCGGCTGCTGGAGTCAGGAGTCTCGTCATTCAGCCACCACATGTGAGGGTTACCGAGGAGGATCTGCAAGTGTGGGGACTCCATTACTTCTCACTTCTGCCCACACCCACAGCCCTGGCCACAACCCTGACCTGCTACTGGAAGGACAGAAAGTTAAGTGCAGGACCCGGTGGGGCCGTGAGGGGGTCCCCCACCCTGCTGGGCAGTGTTCATAGGAGCCTCCAGGCCACAAGTCATGGCAGAGCTGAAGGGGAAGGGGAAGTGGGAGGAGCAGCTGGACTTTTCAGTGTGACCGGCGCTATGCCCCCAGCCAGAGGGCTTGGCTTGAGCTGGAGCCAAGGCATTGCTCTTGTTCTGCCACTTGGCTGGAGGACCACAAAGCAGTGCACACCAGGAATCAGGCCAAACAGCTAGAAGCAGGGACCAGCAGGATGCATCACCTTCAGTGCTTCGTCCAGGTTCCCACCGGCCTGATGCAGGGCCTGCTTGGCGGCGCGTGCAGAGTAGCCCATGCCTTTCAAAGAGCTGATGTTCTCCATGTGGCGCCGCTTCTTTTCCCTTTCCTCTTGCCTGATCTGGGCCAGCTCCTTCAGGAAAAAAGCAAGGCCCACCAGGATACAGATTGAGATTTTGCAGCCAGCTTCCATGGTCACCAGGCAGGGTGAACAGAGGGAAGAGGTGCCTCTCTCCCTAGCCCTCCAGTCCTGCAGCAGAAGGGGTCCTGGGTACTGCTCTGAGGCAGCTAGGGGAAGTGGAGCCTCAGCCCAGGCAGAAAGGGGGTGCCCCACAACCCCCACTGTGCAGCATCAGAATCCAGCCACGGCCAGAGGCTGCTGGGAAGAACCAGAGCCAAAGAGCTTCCTACACGGGAACCATGTCCCAGCCTGTAAAGAGGTGCCCAGGTTCATGTGAATCAGCTGATGCCACGATGCTGACACTCAGCAAACCTGAGGTGGCAAGGGTCCATTCCACAGAATCCTTGAAGGGACAAAAGCCATCTGACCCCATGGTACAGACGCTGCTTCGAACAAGTGTCTGAGCTGGCTGCTGATAGTTCCTGTACCTTCTTCTCCCCACCCCCACCCCCACCCAGACTGGAAGAAGCATGTATTTACTTTATAAATGGGAACACCCATAAAAATGTCATTTTTAGCTGCTTAAATAAATGGATTTTGGCTGGGGATACAGCTCAGTGGTAGAGCACCTGCCTCACATGGGGTGGTTTCAATCCCTAGCACTGGAATAAAAAAAAGTTTTTTTAAAGTCCAAAACCCCCACAAGTTTGAAAACCACACTAATTTAATCCAATCTCATTTTCCAATGAGACAAATTTTCCCAGAAAGCTGAATGACTGGGCCAAGGTTGCACTGACACAGAGCGTCAGTGAGCAGAGGGGACAGTGGCCCGTGCTGCTGCTTCTGGGGTGCCTGCCCCCAGCGCCCTTCATTTCTTCCTGCAGCAGGAAGAGGCCTCGTTTTGGGAGATGAAAGTGGATGCCACGGCAGCACCGTAAAAATTCCCACAGGGTTGGCAGGAGAACTAGGCAGGATTCAGTGGGTGAAGGCATCCATGGCCCAACCCCTGTTTCTAACATCAGGGACCTGCTGGTGTGCTCCCAGAGCATGTGAGGCACCTGCCTTTCCGCCTCTGCTTTGGCTGAGGTGGTTCCATCCCCAGGCTGCCCTCCCCAGTGGGCTCGTCACCCACCCGTGTGCTCCAAGCCTGCACTGCTCCGTACCTTCTCCCAGGGAGGCCACTCATACCTCCTTGCCCCACCAAGGCCTCCAAACTGACCTCATCCTGCAACTGTGTGTCATCTGTGCACATCACCCACACCCCAACTTGCACCCCAGCAAGATGACTCTGCCAGCCGGTGCCCTGCTTTCCCTCCATTTCTACTACAGAGGGGAAGACACATACTGACAACCTTCCTGACAGGAAAACCCGCCACCAGACACAGGCTCTAAGCCTTGCCTGACCCAGACAGGCACCCCGCTGGAGCCTTCAGCAGCTCCTCTTTCAGTGACAGACATCTCATCTGTTTTCTTTCAACCACATAAATACACGGGAGGAAAAGTGCTTTCGGACACTTCTCTTTGTACTAGCAAGAGTTAGACCAAACAACGCTGCAAGTAACATTTCAGAGCATTGCACTGAAACACCTACATAACAGTAGAGTCCATCTTGCTGTGTGAGCAGGCTCTCGAGTCAACCTGAAGCTGAGGCCTGGGCAAGACGGGCAGCAGGGCCTCCCGGGAAGGCGAGCAGCTACAGCTCACAGCCTGACTGCCATGGCACAGTAAGCCAGACCCACTTCCTCCACCGTACTCAGGGCCCTGTGTACAAGAATTACCTGTTCCCCTCTGTTCTGTGGACACTCATACTGAGTCTCGGGAACTGAGGTGTCTGTGTTGTGAATCCTAGAGCTTAATTTGTAAATGTACATATAAATCCACTGTACTTTTTTGGCATTTAAGGGGACAGAACTCAGGGACTCATCAATGCTAAGCAAGCACTCTATCATTGGGCTACATCCCCAGCTTTTATTTTTATTTTTTCTTTTTGACACAGTTTCACTAGGTTCCCCAGACTGGTCTCAAATTTGTGATTCTCCTGCCTAGCCTCCTGGGTAGCTGAGGGTACAGGTGTGTACCAGCTCTCCTCTATAGTTGTTTTTTTTTTTAATGAATTTTATTTTATCCCATTCCCCTCCTCAAGCCCCCTCCCCTCCCTATGTACAAAAGCTTTGTTCCCATTTTTTCCATTTTCATTTTTTTTCTTGTCCCTTCCTTCCTTTCTCCCTCCCTCCGCCCTTGTTCCCCTTCCCATTTGAACATTTTCTTCCTATTTCTCAACATCCATTATACATTTCAGTCCTTATTTCCACTTTTGGTTTCTCACAACAGAGAAAGAATACAGTATTTAAACATGTGTGTCTGATTTATTTCACTTAAGAGTATGGTCTCAAGGTCCTTCCAGTTAGCTATGAATGTCTCAAGCTCATCCTTCTTTATGGCTGAGTAGTACTCCATTTTATAAAACAAACAAACAAACACATCTTTATCCAGTCACTAGTTGATGGGTATTTGGGCTGATTCCAAGATTTAGCTATTACAAACTGTGCCACTATAAACATGGATGTGTATATATCGCTGTAGTATGATGCTTTTAAATCTTTTGGGAGGTTACCCAGCACGGTAATAGCTGGGTCAAATGTCTCCCCTATACTTTAAAAGTCAGTTTTTGACCCACAATTCTCCTTGTTTATAAAAGGAAAATCACTGTCTTCAAGGCCTCAAAGGGAGTCACAGGTAGAACTGAATGATGTGATAATTGTGAGACAGTAAGGTGTAATAATCAAAATGATCAAATGACATCTTTTTAAAACCCTGGCTTTCCAAATGCTATGAACTCTCATTGACAATTAAGTAACAGTGAAGGGACCAATGCAATTATCAACAGCAGCGGCTTTTCCAGTAGTACCAAATCCGAACTCAGCTCTCCCAAGTGCTTGTTTGCCCTGTCACTGACACCTGCAGCAAGACCTGTGGGCCAGGCTTGGGGACCAGGCAGGGCAGCTGGAGCTCTGGAAGGAGATGCCCACATGGCCCCTTGACCTCCCAGCTGCCCCACATCCTTGGCCCATGGGGACCAGGCAGGCAGAGGACCAGGGGCCCTTCCTGGCCCCCAGCAATCCCTTAGGTTGCTCTCCTCACCAAATAAGGGAACACATATGTGAGGAGATTCTAGAGAGTGATCGGCTGGAGTTCACAGCTAGAAAGGACCTGCGAGAAGCTAGTGCAAGTCTCTGTTCTGGAAAGGAGGAAAGCAGCCCATGGCTACCACACCCCAGCAGCTGTCTGGGCCTCAGGGCCTTTTCAGGAGCATAAGGCTTCCCCCAGCTCCACAACCTTAAAGCTTCCTCTAATGCACTTGTTGGACATGACTATATTTTTTAACCTGTGCTTTCATAATGCAATGTTCCTTGTTTTTATGGTTTGACTCATGTTTTTAAGCAAGAATGTAAGCCCAGCGCATTTCCATGCAACTGCTCCATGGAACAACTCAGCCTCCTTTAGAACGGTTTCCAGATATACACTGTGGTATGGAGAGAGGGAGAAAGAGTGAGAGAGGACTGCCTGTCCAAGCTCCACCACAAAGGAAGCTGTGCTGCCTGGGAACTCATGTATTAAAAGACACGTTCCTCTTTCCTTTTTGATCTGGGGTGACATCGCCTTGTTATTGATACCCTGTTTGATCTTTTGTGTTCTTTCATACCCAAGGGAGCTTGGCATTTTGGAAGTATTTGTGCTACACGTCACATTTCACAACCTCTGAAAGCACAGGCACAGGGTGCGTGAAGAGCTACCTCTCTGCGGTTGGAGATGTGAATGGCTGCGTGGTCCACGTTGCCATCGCAGGCGCGCAGGGCGAGCCGGGCTTCCTGAGGTGTGAACCCCAGCTGCATTAGGCTGTGCACTTTTGAGGGGTCGATGTGCAGCTCTTTGAAGAGCAGCCGTGCCTACAGACAGGGAGAAACTAAGAATCAGGTGGCTGGAGCAACACTAAGAGTGTAACACAAGGTGGAACCCTAAAGAACTGGTGTGTACCCAATGTGAATTACTGTGTGTCAGATTTCATCATCTTTTTTTTTTTTTTTTTGGTACCAGAGATCGAACTTGGGACCTGGCGTTTGCGAGGCAGGTGGCAGAAACACTGAGCTAAATGCTTGACCCTGCGTGTCAGATTTCAGATTGAAACTCTACATCTAACCTATTACCAATATGAGCCCAAGTTTTTTTGTTTTTTTTTTGGTACCGGGGATTGAACTCGGGTCCTTGCGCTTGCGCAGCAGGCGGCGAAACCACTGAGCTAAATCCCCGGCCCTTCTATTACCAATATGAATAGTAAGAGCATGAACTCTGGTCCCACAGCTTACCCACAACACAACCTGAGCGAACAGGCTGGGAGTTTTGGACATGATTGGGATCCATTATCCCCATCTGTACAGTAAAACTCCCTGGACCTGAGCTGCTCCTGCAGCCTGGCCTGTCACCTCTAGGCTGTGAGATGACAGGATAGAAACTGCTGACCAAATCAAGTCATTATACTTTTCAAGTCCATGATGCCCAAAAGGGAGAACAGGCCTGAGAGAAGCATGGTTCTAACAAGTCACTAAGTGCTGAGTTTATAAAACACTCACTTCTGGGGAGCAGGATAAAAGCCGGTGAAAATGGAAACGGTCACCATGTGCTCGTCTTACCTTGTGGAGATACTCATGGGCCTCTTCTCCATTACCACTGTGATAGTTTCGGATCCCTTGAAGCAAATAAAGTCTTAAAAACAACACCTTCTCTTTCCCACAGTTTCCCTAAAGTTATCAGGGGAAAAAGGATAAAACTGTCTTATTTCTAATGGTAGGTGTGTAATATTCACATCCCCCCACCTCCACAGGGGCAGAGGGTAGCACTAACTGTGCGTGACATCACTACTGCTGATGGCAAAAGCAGAGCCCCCGAGCACATGGGGAAGACAAGGTCAGGACACCCATCCCCAGCCATCCAGATGCTTGGCCCTTCTGATCTACAGGGAAGAATGTAAAACTTCACACCAGGCAGAAGATGTTCATACAAGCGAGAATCCGAGGACTTGTGGGAACAGAAAGATGCTAACTTGACTTACAGCTCTGGAGCTGTATGTGATTCAAGTCACTGTCAGTATTCAGATACCTGTTTTCTGCATCTGCACCTTGTATCACATGTGACTGAATTTTAAGTAGTCACTGGCTCCTGCCCGGGGAGCTTGGAAGTAGAGGTCTAGGCCTAGAAAACTGTGTTCTCCTCTGGGTTCAATTCATACCAAAGAAACAGCCAGGCTTCTAACATACTGAGTACTTTGTAAAATACAGATCTGAAAAAGCTTATTGCAGGCTACTACCAGGATAAAATCACCTCTGGCACAAGACATTCATAGGGATAAACACATATTTTAGAAACAGACCTAACAATACACAGATTATAGTAACATACTTTTATGTGGACCAGTCGCTGATGATTTTCTCCGTAACAGTTTTTCAAGCATTTCTGGGCCAAGTTGAGCTTTTTTTCTGCATCATCAAGGCATTCGAGTTGCTCCAGCCGGAAGTAGCACCACACAATGTCCAGCTGGAGCACAGCATAGTTATCCACGATGTCCAGCAGCTCTCGGCTGCACTCACTGCAAGGAGAGGGGACCACATCACTGCAGAGTTGTTAGAGCTTTTCCAAGTGAATTCCTGGAATTCCTTCCCAGTTCTTGGTGTATTTTCAAAGACTGCTTGAAAACAGAGATCCCAGTGCTTACATGGGAGCTCATTATAATCTGAATGCTTCCAGGATAACATATGCATACACACACACACACACACACACACACACACACGCCCCTTTCTAGGCTTGAAAGAGGCCTAGAAGGAAGCAGACTCCAGGGCCACTATGTCAGCACCCCTCTGTACACAGAGACCAAGGTTTTTAACAGGGTTCCACCTTGTGCCTTAACTGCAGATCAGAATTGCTTAGACGTGAGGATTCTCAATCTCTCTCTTCTTCCTCCGTTTCTCCTAGAAATACTGATGCAGAAACCCCACCCAGACCAACAGAAGTCTCTAGGGATGGTGGCTGGATGTTCTACTGTATTTCTAACCTGCCCAGGTGACTTTAACATTCAGGAAATGCTAAGAGCCATCACAAATCACCATGTCTTAAGAGTGCCTTAATTGCCCACGCTGTGCCAGTCACAGGTGGGCTGGGAGGAAGCACAACTGGAAAACACCAGGCCCTAAAGTCTAGCTGGGTTCTGAAGGACCACGTCCAGACGAAAATCTCCTCTACAGCTGGGCCTCTGAACTGGACCCAGGCAGAGAGGAAGAAAGATAGACCAGACAATAAGCAGAGCACAGATGAAGACAGCCACCAGGGTTACCTCTTTGGACTTCAAGTTGTGATTACACTAACATTCATGATGGAAATCTAGATCTCAGGCCCTCAGTAAGAAAGAAAATATGGAACCATGCAGCAACAAATATTAAAGGCTTTCTGTTTTCATTGGAATTCTACTAAAACAAGACTGTTTGTACATGAAATGAAATGTACATCCTCAATCTCCTGTCCTGCATGTCAACATATGCTCAGCAAGAAGAGAAATCAAATGGAATCTCATTTTGTCATTTACCCTATAAAACAGAGGTCTCTTGAGGGGAGAGCCTGGGTGTAGTCTAACCTGGCTGGGGCAATAAAAACGTGTTAGAATAGTATTTTTACATTTATTTATTTGTGTTTATTTGGTAATGTGTACACCATATTTTGTACACACACAGATGCAGGGCTGGATGAAGGACACTTCCTAAAATCTGCTGTTAAGTGTGAGAATCCAATTTTGAGAGGAGGGAAAGGATTTCGTAAACTGTGGTCTAATCTTACACTCCAGGGGAGAGTTCCTGATCTGTCTGTAACAAGTTCATGTTTCTGTGCAAAGATGGTCCTGCCATTCATGGGAGTGCAACGGACACTTTGCCACACTTTTCAATTTCTCATGTGTGTGCACAAGCTTTCATGTTTAATGAACATCAAGAACAGAAATGGCCTCACTTCAGTTAAAAATAAAATCAGGGCCGGGGATTTAGCTCAGTGGTTCTGGCGCCTGGCGTGCAAGCACAAGGTCCCGAGTTCAATCCCTGGTACCAAAAAACAACAACAAAAAATAAACATGCAGAAAAATAAAATCAACATGTCAAGTGTGACCCAAAATTGAGTATATATGCAGCAAAATCCCCCAAACACATCAAAACACGGGTCTCTTATTAATGGGTTATATTTTATTCTATGAGTTTCAAGAAATCACCTGAAAAAAAAATTATACACCTGGATATTGTAATTTTGAAACCATTATTTTTTTTTTTGGTATCGTGGATCGAACTTGGGTCCTCGCGCTTGCGCAGCAGGCAGCGAAACCACTGAGCTAAATCCCTGGACCCTGAAACCATTATTTTTGAACCTGATCTTGTCAGTTAGAAAAAATACAGGTTTTTAGAAGTCTAGTATAGGGCTGGGAATTTTGTTGTTGTTGTTGTTGTTACTTTAACATGTATTGATTAAAAAAAAATAAAGAGGAGAAGTTTTCAACATCATTCAGGATAACTATTTCCTGGTATAAAAAGACATTATTCTCAAACAATAACTTTCTAAAAAAAAAAAAAGTACATCATGCAATCAGTTTTAAAAAGTTTCACTGACTGTTTCAAACCTTGGGGATCATACAGTAACCGTTTTTTGACCAGTTTTTGCCTGAATAAACACAAAATCTTGCAAGTCAACACAGTTGCAGGCTTTGCTGTGAAAATGAGTGCTGAGCAGAAGTTGAACCCCAGCATCCAAGGGCCCTGCAACCAGTCGGGCTCAGCGAGGAGCCACCAGGTCTGGTGCCCTTGCAGGCAAGCGAGGAGAGGCGTCAAGGCCGCTGGAGCCTGTGACCTGAGCTCAGCAGCCTGGCCCTGCCTGCCAAAGCCCACGCCACCTCTTCTCTCTCAAACCTGAGGATGGGCCAGGCTTTTTCTACTTGAGTATTTTTAAAGCCCCACTTAAAAAAATCCAGATTCCATGCACTTGCAGCTGTGATCCTGACTTGCAAAATTTCTTGTTTTCTACCCTTTAAAGCCTGTCTGTTTCTCGCACAGGTAATGGAAGCACAGTTTTGATACCTTTGAGAGTTCACTCTCTAGCTAAACCAGCCACAAAATACCGCATCCCAAACAAGAACCCACCAGAGTATTACAAAGGCGGGAGGAGATATCTCAGCGCAGTGTACAAATTCCCCCCATTCCCAATATTTTACATGCTTGTTTAATTAAAAAGAAAGTCAGTTGCTCTGGATTCAGATGTGGTGGAGTTTTCATCACTGTCAAAGGCATCAACCAGATTTGGGAGTTTGTTAAAAGGTTAAAAATTCATACAAAACCTGCTGTAAATTAAGACAAAGGTAGATTAAAATGCATCATTAACTGTCTCTTTAAATAAAGTAATGCTTTCCATAAAAAGCAAAGGTGGGCTTTTGCCTTGATGCTGAAAAATGCTGGCTCTAGAATTCTGTGCAAGTCTGCACAAAAATACATTCTCTGAGAAAATTGTTTTCCACTTAGTGTGAACTTCAATATGACCAAGTTCAAAGGCAAATCACGATAAAAACTGCCATTGTCTTAAATTCTGCAGGCTAAGAGTTTCAGACAAGCTGCGGTGGAAAGCCACGGTTGAGAAACCCAGTGAAGCACAGGGGCACAGCACGGACACTTCGGGTTTTGGAGTTGAAGGAAACTGGGGTAAAAAGTTGATTTTGTGTGCAATACTTTCAGACGCTCTAGTTAGACCCAAAATCATGATAGCCGTAGCAGTCTGTGAAAAAGTCACTATAGCCTGCAGTCGCAGAGTTGCCGCTGTACCCGTAACTTCCGTACCCGGCGCCAGCATTCATGTAGCCTCCGTGGTTGGCGCCCCCAAATCCTCGGCCCTGGCCCCGCCCTCGGAGATTGGGGGGCGGGGGCACCTCATTGTGCATGGGGCCACCCATCCCGAAGCCCGGGTTGTGTGGCTTGGCAGCAAATTTTGGTCCGCCTCGGACAGGGATTGGTGCTCTCTTCTTTTTGTTGGCATCAAGGGCAAGGGGGGCATCAGGGAAAAGCTTTTCAAGTGCAGCAAGAGCAGCATATGCCTTTGCTACTTTCTTGTTTGAACCAGCACCTTGAAACTTCTGTCCATCAACCTCGACCTCCATGACAAAGCGCTTGTCATGGCTGCCTCCGGTCTCAGAGATGAGCTCGTACTTGACGCCTCGCCTCTTCTCATTCAGTTCCATAACTGGGCTCTTGCCATGCTTAGTCAGGATCGGCCCCTGGTGTTTTACGTTCTCAGTGGTGGCATCCGAGGGGAAGGTGGCGCTGGGGGTCGACCCAGCTTCTACCACGGGGGCAGGGCCGCCACAGCAGGCTTTGCCTCTGTTTCCTCAGCAGAGTCCTCCCCCTTGCTGGAGTCCCTGCCTTCAGCACCTGTCGGCAAGCCCATGTCCTGTAACACCTTAACAGCCACGTGCAGCTTGGCGGTCTTCTTGGAGGGCCCTGAGGCCTCAAATGAGCTGCCATCCACTTCCACAGACATGGTGAAGATGGGGGCGTGCACAGGGCCTGTCGGGGACACCAGCTTATACTGCAGCCCCGGCTTCAGCTGGTTCAAACGCATCAGTGCATTCATGGCCTGGGGAGGCTCAGCTTTCTGCTCTTTTGAATCTTCTTCTTCTTTTTGCTGGGGGACTTCTCTTCCCCGTCCTCCTCCATTGGGCGTTTCATGGGGGTAATGGCATAGGTGGTGCTGAGAGGGATATGAACAATGTAGTCCACTGGATTCTCATTCTTTGGTTTCTTGGGCATCTTGGAAGGCAGGGGGTCCATGCCCAGGACTTTGTGGAGCTGGCCAAAGGCAGCGAGCCACAGTGCATGCTGCGCACTCTGTGTGATATCTTCCCGTTGCTGTCTGTCTAGATGCCCAATAGCATCAGTGGCTTCTTTTTCACAAGGGTCATAAATGCCAGAACCATCTGGCATCACGATGCTGGACGCCAGGCACTCCAGCACTCTCTGCAGGGCCTCGCCAGCGCCCATCGGCCTGTTGGCTGTGCCGATGGACTTCTCACACAGGAGCTCCAGGGGCCATCCTCTGAGGGGACCCCAGGTAGGCACACGGGTACACGGGTCCCTCGGGACCTGGATAACAATGACAAAGGACTTCAGCCCATTGGCCCTGGCCTGGAACCACCTGGCATGTCAGAGGGACGCCAAGGCAGCAAGGCATTTCTGCCTGTCCAGAACGTCCGGGGGGTTGTTGACTGATAGCGTTTCTCCAGCTAGCACCTTCTCCATCTCTTCTCTGACAACGGGGGATGTTAGGTGAATGGTCAGAGACAGCGGGGGCTCTTTTGTATTTTTTATCACAATTGCAGCATCATCCACAGACTGGAGTATTTCATACTTGTCTTCTGTTACAGCAGCAAGCTGGATGGCCAGGTTGTCAGCCACCTTGTCCAGGAGGGCAGTTGTAGGCTTCTCCTTACATAGCAGCACCAGCTCTAGATCCAAGTCCCCCTTCAGCAGAAGGCCCTTTGCCACCAGGCCAACCCGCATCACCCCCCCCAGGGTCCTGGTCATGTGTTCTGCCTTCTGTTCCCCGGCCCCTTCTTTGCTCTCATCATCCGTGGGCACATCCATGTTGTCAGACTCGGCCTGCTCGCTGTTGCCTTTTTCTTGCTCCTCGATCCAGTCAGACACAGCTTTGAGAGCCGTCTCGGTGTGGGATACCATGTTCTGCACTGCCTCCAGTTCCTCTTGTGTTGGATACACCGAAGAATGCTTTGCCATCACGTAGCGATCATCATTCACAAAAATCCGCACTGGACGCATTTTCACTTTTCTCTGTAGTGTCTGGAAATCAAACTTTTGCTTAGCTTTTCAAACTGTGACAGATTTCCTTGTTGTTACCAATACTTCAACTATCTTCTCGGCGTCCCCTTCCACGACAGCAGCCGCTGCTGCCTCCCGGCTCCTGCCACAGCCCACCAGGGTCTCCCCCCCAAAGCCATGCGGTGTGAGCCCGGCTGCTGAGTCCAACTGCAATGGTGAGAAGAGGAGGAGGAGCCGGGGAGGTGCGGGACCACGTGACGATCGGAGCCCCGCCTCCTCACCCAGGGCTGGGGATTTATTTAGCTTAGTGGTTCCACCGCCTGCCTCGCAAGCAAGCGCAAGGACTCAAGTTCAATCCCTCATACCCCGCCCCCGCCAAAAGAAAAGTAAGCTGAGCTAAAACAGATCTTTTTTTAGGAAAGGTGGGTTAAAAAGTCACTTGTAGTCTTATTGCGGGTGTTAAGGAACTGGATTCTTGTTTGCCTTGGTCTAGTTTTTTTCCTCTTGTTTTTTTGTAGTTGGGGTTAAGATTCTTCTGTCTAGGATTTGTAGTTCCCACGAAACTGGGGAAAGTTCCAGCCCTGATTTCTTCCCCTCTCTCTGAGCCTTCCATGTCCCTTTCAGGAATTTTGAGTTGCACATGTGCTGGGCTGCTGAGCCGGCTCCCAACTCCCAGCTGCTCTGGCATCTTATCTTCTTCCAGTCTTTTTCCTGAGCCATCCTGGAACTTCTAGCACCCTGTCTTCATAATGACCACTTTCTCTTCTGCAGTCTGCTCTTCAGCTAATTCCACCCAGCACTTCACACCATGGGCTCTGCACGTTTATCTCTTCAGTTCTCATGCAGTCTTCTGTACATGCCTAGCGTCTGTCTGATGTGCTCAAGCCTCCCTCCCACCTATTCTAATGCCTTGTCCACTAATTCCAGCTTCGTGTTGCTTCTAGATCTGCTTCTGTTGTCTGATTTCTCTCATTATTTTCTTGCCTTGCATTGCTGCTAATTTTTAACCAGATGCTGGGTATTTCTGTGATGCTAAATAAATTAGCTTCGCTAGGGATGCACTTGCTACTTGCTGTTCAAGGCTAGGTCTGGGATCCCGTTAGGTGGACCAGAGCATCTTTGGGCTACCTCTGTCCTAGTACCGAGGAACCACCCTTTTGAATGCTCAATGTGGTGCCCGAGCTCCATCCCCAGCACAATAAATAAACCAACAGGGACAGAAACTACTCTTGATCATCCCATACACCATACCTCAAGATACAGAGTAGAAAATTGTGGCTGACTTCTAGTTTCCTTGCAGAAGGGAGAAAAAAATTCTAGTGGGAAAGAAATGGAACAAGTAGTTTCTTCCACCTACACTGCTGAGTGGCATTATCGTCAGTCTCCTTCATAAAGAAGGGTAAACCCCACAGAAAGTACTCGAATACGTTGGCTAGAATAAACAGATCCTCAGGGAGAAAACCATCATTCTCTACTGCCTTCATTGGAAGTGGAAGTTTCTCAAAGGTCCGCTTGTTAAAGGCTTGGTGTGAAGCTTGGCAGTACTGGAAGGTGGTAGAAACTTTTAGGAGGTGGAGCCCAGTGGGAGGTTTTTGTTGACTGGGATGTGCCCTTGAAGGGGACCATGGGATGCCAGTTTCTCTGTCCCCCTCTCTTTGCTTTCCAACCACCACGACGTGAACTGGCTCTTCAGTCATGAGTTTCTGCGACCATGACTAAAAACCCCAAAATTCCAAGTCAAAATAAACCTTTTCTAAGCTGATAATCACAGGCATCTGTTACAGTGACAGAAAGCTGATACAACTACTTAAAAAGACACTGACAATGATTATTTTATCTATGGCTTACTGAACATGTTGATGTATCATGAAAATACTGGTTTTTTTATTCATGGCTTCTCTGAGATCTGAAAATTATTTCAAGGACTGTCCAGGTGAAAAGGTTAAGAGAGGATCACACAGATGAACTGAGACCAGCCATTTTTTTTTTTTTTTTTTTTTGGACCAGGGATCAGAATCAGAACCTTGCACTTTCGAGGCAGGTGCAGTGCCACTGAGTTAAATCCACGGCCCTGCCCTTCTTTCTTTCTTCCTTCCTTTCTTTCTTTGCCATTTCTTGATAATTGTCAGTATAGAGAAATTTAATATACTAGTTTATATTTTTAATATACATTTGAAATTTTCTATAGTAACAGCTATAGGACTATTGAGCAACTATGCAAGGAAATGAAAATTACCCAGATTTTAAGAAATGAACTGAAGAGTCTAAACTGTTTGCAGCAAAAGAGAATGAAGCTGACCCCAGAAAGCAGCAGAGACAAAGCAGGAGACCCTGGGGGCTCCCAGTCCTAACCTCCTCCTCCCAAACATTTGGGACAATAAATCCTTCCTTTGCATAAGTTAAAGTTGCAATTTTTTCATTTAACACCCAAAGGAGTTGACCAGTGCAAACTGTAAACATTTATATTTATCTTCTTGAATTATAGAGGATTATCTTTGGAATTCACCAAATTGGAAAGAAGTTTACACTGACATTGTTAACTTTTGACCATTTTCAAATATCAAATCAAATACTGAATATACCTGCATTATAGTCTCTAAGTGCCGTTTCCCAGTAACAGAAACCAGGGATCCTTGAGAAACTGCTGACTCCTGGCCCCAGGAATTCCCTGAAATATCACTGGCTCCACAGTGAGCATCTACAGAGGCACCAGGACTAGGTCTAAAGGACACGGGGCCACTCGCCAGCCACAGAGTCCAAATTTAAGCAATCAAGTTTGAGGCACATTCATGAGTTAATAATCTTGCTACTTAAAAAAAATATTCATCGATCACCTTTGAGGGACTAACTCATTTATTCTGAAAACAAGAAAATAAGAAGGAAATAAAGCAAGTACTGTTTTGTTTACACAAATCATACCTCGGCATAACCAAACAGCAGATGAGGAAAAATATTTCTTGTCAGAGAACTCCAGCAAAAAATGTAGAAGGAACAACCACTGTGCAGGCCTAATGAAACCGTGAATCTGGGGAATGAAAATCAATGTCTATACCAAAACCATGAGGCAAAAAGCTGATGGGGAACCCTACTGCAGATAGTTCAGCAGATAGTTCAGGCAGCAACAGATCACAAAGCAAGAGAGACAGAAAACATACCAAATGCTTACTGCAAAAAAAAAAAGTACCTAAGTTTGTAAAATTCTTTTCTGTGCAGGGAAGAGACGCCAATTAAAAACACAAAGGGCAGAAAGAATTCACCAGTAGTCTGCACCGTAACTGCTCTTTCCATCAACCCCTCTTGGGTGACAATCTGAGGGTGGATTATGAGGGGTACTATGTATGATCTAGGCCACCTTCCCTAAAACTGGTAAACACCAAGGACAAAAGTGCCTACCAGAAATATCTGTCAGCATCCAAAAGGCATGGCAAGGCTATTCCATATTCTTTTCTTTTCAGGAAAGCTCTGCCCTTCTCATGATATCCCATAGCTAACATAAGGGCCTAGGAAAGAATGTGGATTTTAAAAAACATCATTTTAAAATATAACAAAACAAATGGTATCAAAAGCATATTCATTCTAAGGAAAAGCAAATAAGGTTAAAAAAAACAAATTACAAGATCACAACTCAACCTAAAAGCCAAAAGAAAGAAAACTGTAATTAAAGCTTGATTTCATTTAAATGCTGAAGCCAAGCTGTCTATTCAGTGAGCAGCACCTATCTCTATGTCCATCAGTTTATTTTTACTTTATTTATTTATTTATTTTTTGGCAGGGTACCGGGGATCAAACTTGGGTCCTTGTGCTTGTGAGGCAGGCAGTGGAACCACTGAGCTAAATCCCCAGCTCATCAGTTTATTTTAGGGTCTGTAAACCTCGCCATTTCTAGTATTCTACTAGACTAAACATAAGCAGGCAGCCAATAATTCTTTATGCCTTTAAAAATATCATTCACTTCACTTTCTATTTTCTTTTTTTTTTTGAGCAAGGGTCTTGCTGTTGCCCCAACTGGTCTTGAACTCCTGGGCTCAAGGGCCCTCCCACCTTGGTGTCTGTTGCTAGGACTGCAGGCACATATCCCCGTGGCTGCTGTTACTTCCTAGTGAAGTATCTGTTGACACCAGTAATTCCAAAGCAATTCTGAAAGGCTTTCATAGTTTGGTAAATGTCATCCAGAGGCCCACGTGTTAGACACAGGGTGGGTACCCAGAGGACCTGGCAAGAGGTCCTGAGGTCACTGGCGTCTTGCCTTTAAATGGGACCATGGGACCCTGGCCCTGCCTTGCCATCTTTTGCTTTCTAAGGTGTGCAGTTTTGTTCTGCTACCTGCTGCCCCATGATGTGCTGCCTGCCTGAAAACACAGCCCCACAGATACGGAGCCAACCAATCATGGACTAGCACTTCCACAACTGTGAACCAAAATAAACCTCTTTTCTTCATAAGTTTTGACTTTAGGTATTTTGTTATAGGAACAGAAAAGGTGATCCAAAATTTTATGAAATTCATGAATTTTTTCAGATGTGAATTTTTATATAATTCAATCTGACTTCGTAATCTTTCCAAGAAGAGCTGGATGTCATTGTTCAATGTTAAGAGAGCAGTGGGTAAATAATCACCAACATTTAAAAAAATAACCTTCAGGGGCCGGGGATTTAGCTCAGTGGCGCTGTGCCTGCCTCCCAATCGCAAGGTCCTGAGTTCGATCCCGGTCTCAAAAATAAACAAACAAACAAACAAACAAACTTCAATCCACTGAAACCTCAAATATTAATTCACGTAGTTATTTTATTAAAACTTGTCTGTAATTCTTAATTTTAAACAGAATAATTTAAATAGTGGAGCCCACTCCAAAATTTTTTTCTTTCGTTTTTTTGAGACAGGGTCTTGCAATATAGTTTAGGCTGGCCTTGAACTCACCATGTAGCCTAGGCTGGCCTCAAAATTGTGGTGATCCTTCTGCCTCAGGCTCTCAAGTGCTGGGACTACAGGTATGTGCCACCACACCCAGCTTCCAAATTATTCTTTAAAGACAGGAAAAAATGGCTAGGTTGGTATCATACACCTGTAATCCCAGGACTCTGGAAGGCTCAGGCAGGAGGATCCCAAGTTTGAGCCTGGTCTGGACAACTTAGTGATATCCTGTCTCCAAATAAAAAATAAAAGATGGCTGGTGGGAATGCAGCTCAGTGTGAAGGCCCAGAAAAAAGTAATTTGATCCTATCACTGCAGGTCTTCATTTAAGAAGCACCTGGGCCTGGCTTAGAGACAGGAACAATCTGAAGCCATCTCTGTTCTAACTGCCGATCAAGAAGGCGGTACGGAGCCCCCAGCACTCACCTTCTTCTGTGACGGAGGGATTCGGATGGATCTGCCTGTCTGGTTCGCTATGTCTAGGTAGGGTGTGGTTTCGGGGTCCACCACCGTTTCAGCTGTATCAAAAACCAAAGGAGGGGCCGGGGATTTAGCTCAGTGGTTCCATCGCCTGCCTTGCAAGCACAAGGACCCGAGTTCGATCCCCAGTACCAAAAAAAAGAAAAACAAAGGAACCCCATTAATTCAGTGACAACATCGACCAGCAGTGACAACATGCAGACTGACAGGCTGAGGGGGACTCCACGAGATACCACTGCCACCTTGATGCAGTTGAGGAGGTGACAAGTCCAGAGTGCTGTGTACCTCTTTTTGTCAGGATCTCCAGTCCTTTCTTTGTCCTCTGAATTCGCTTTTCTTTTAGTTCGGCCTCACTTTGTTTCTCTTCCTCTTCCTGGGAGTTCCTCCTCACATCTTCTTCAGACTGCTTGAGTTCCAGCACCATTGCCTTGACATTGTGAGTCACTCCCTGCTCCTCCAGGCTTTTCCCTGTCAACATCAGAATTGTGTTTCATACACAATTACCAGCTAACAGTGCACTTCCTGTGTTAAACAGAATTCTTAAATTCACACAAGCACTCACTTACAAACCACCAGGCTACATCATTAGTAGGAATGTGCAAAATTTCATTGTGCAACTCTGCTACTGCTGAACAGCATTTAAGTCAACCAGAGAAAACAGAACCAACTAAATTGGTTCTTCCCAATTTTCTTAATTCTCATGCTAAGATCAAATTGAAGCAACAAATAAAAATCTATCGCAGGGAGAGGCCTGTGCTAGAAACTATTAAAGGACAAAAACAGTATAATTAGTATACAAATTTTCTTACCCTCTAGTTGGAGAAATAAAAAGCCACCAGACAGGAAGCTACAGCTCAGTATATAATATGACAGGTAAAACCTTGTGGTTAAAAGCCAAGATCACAGGATCCTTCTCAGTTTAATTCTGGAGCCCTGGGAGAACTACTTATCTTCTAGGACTCAGTTTCCTCATAGAGGATGGAAATATAGACAATGGTGGAAATAAATAAAACAGAAGAAGGGATACAGTGACAAAATTAAAAGCTAGCTGGATGTGGTGGTACACGCCTATAATCCCAGCACTTGGGAGCTGAGGCAGGAGGATCTCTGCATGTTGAAGGCCAACCTGGGATATATCTATATAGTCCAAGGCCAGCCTGAACTGCACAGTAAGACCCTGTCTCAAAAAAAAAAAAAAAAAATTAAAAGCTAGCTCTCCATGCAAAGGTTAGCCAGATATATAAACCTAACAAAAATTACATCAAAGATGCACAAAAGCAAACAATGAAAAAAAAACCGAGATGCAGATAGATTTTTAAATAATAGTATTGTGTAGTATAAATGCAAAATTTGAACACATTTCTGGAAAACTCTAGCTGGATCTTTTTTTAAAAGAACTTGACAATCATCCTGACATTTATATATAAAAATAAAGATCCACAAGCTTAAGTAAACTGCATACAGAAGACCCAAGAGGGAGACTCACCAGGTTTTAAAACTGTAACAAAGCCACAGTAAGGTGAACACTGCAGGTAAATAGGACAGAAAAGTGTAGAAACAGGGCCCAAGGGCAAAAGAAAAGGGACATCATCAATCAGCAAGCCAAAGGCAGGCTATTCACTTAGCAGAGGATACTGGAAGAAAAAAAAAACTAGGTCTTTAGCCTTTAATAGATAAAGGGAGACTGGACAGATTAGAGCCCTTTGATACATTAAACTAATAATATACAAGTAAATGCAGAATATTCCTGCGGTTCTGGGATTGGGGAAAGAACTCTTAACAAAACACAAAACATGAGGCAATGGATTTGACAATATCAAAATCCACTACTTCTGTCCATGAGCCACAAGCTGACAGAGATGAGATGACAGTGAAGGGATAACTGTGACACGTGGCATACACAATGTGACATGGCTACAGAGAGCGCTGGAAAGGACAGCGAGGTACATCAAGTTCAGAAAATGTGAACTTGATTCTTGAGGCCCCAGGAACCCACTGGAAACTGAAGAGACCACAGTGCCTGTCAGGACTGCTGCAGGAGCTGATGTCTCCCTGTCCCTTCCCCTCCGGCCGCCAGTGATCAAGATCCAAGCATGACAGTGTCAGTGGCCTCCCACTTCCTTGAGAGAGACTCTAGTCTGAGTAAGGCTCATTTCTAACAGCAGCACTCGAGACCTCAGGCTGGAGAGTGCTGCACTGCGCATGTTGTTGTGGGCACTGATGTTTAGCAGCATCCCCAGTCTCTACCCACTAAAGGACAGGAGCATCTCCCCACCGCCAGGTTCTCACAACCAAAAGCAGCTCCTGACACGGCCAAGAGTCCTGAGAGGGCACAACTGCCCCTGGTTGGGAAGTACAGCTTCAGCATTCGGTGCGGGCTGTCTGTCGTCCATGCTCAGGACCCCCAGCCCCAACTCTCTCAACTCTCAACCTGGTGCTCCAACACAAGGCTGGGGGACCACCCCTCCATCCTCACACAGCCTCAGGGAGAACTCAGGAGCCCCAAGCCTCCTCTCACACATCGAGAGCCCACACTGAAAGGTTTCCAGCACCTCTCTTCCTCACCAGCACAGAGCAGGCAGGGAACATTTATTAAAAAACTGTTTACACCAGGGATTTAGCTCAGTGGTTCCAGCGCCTGCCTTGCAAGCGCAAGGTCCCAAGTTCAATCCCTGGTACCAAAAAAAAAAAAAATTGTTTTCTGCTTTACATTTTTCTTTTAGTGAATTTCTAAAACAATTGGTTTTGGGTTATAAATGTAACAAAGCTAGAAAGTTATGAAGAGAGGAGAAGTGAGAAAAAATGCAAAGTCATTATTTCTGTGTTAACTTGATGGAAAATTCTGCATTGTTTATTTTCTTTCCATAACATACCTAGTTGAAGCAGTTTCTTATTTATGACAATCTTGATGTAATTTTCTTGAAATCCAAAGGTTTCAGCTATTCTGAAAAATAAAACCAGTGAAAACTGCAGGATGGCAAATTTGTTAAATATTATCCATTGAAAAGATTTTACTGGCCAGGGATTTAGCTCAGTGGGGCCGTGCCTGCCTTGCAAGTGCAAGGTTCAGAGTTCGATCCCTGGTACAAAAAAAAAGAGATTTTACTGATCATATTCATTTTATACATTTTACTCAGAAACACAACTTTCTGCCTCATCAGCTCACCTTGCAATATGGCCAGGCCTCTGGACAGCTGTCTGAAACTATGTAAGCGACAAGGACCTCTGTCTACATTCTGTGTTACTATGAGTTTCCTCAGACAGTGGGGACCAGGAGGCTGTTTCTCAGGAGAAAATCCACTTGATGCTTTCTGGGGTCTTATCGGAGCTCATAGCAGGGCACCAAATGAATGGTGCTTCCCAAATTCAACCTAGCTTCCCTGATGCAGACCCAGGAAAAAAAACAGGCAATCAACTAAAGAAGCACAGTGACTTCTGAGCGCCAGTGGTGCTCAAAACACCGATTAAAAACACACTGAGTAGGCAGACATTTAATTCTCACAGGTGTTTATCCATTTTCTTGCTAGATTTTTCATTCTGGAATTTGGCTAAATCACTTGCTCCTTTTTTTTTTCAGTACTGGGCATCGAACTCAGGTCCTTGAGCTTGCAAGGCAGGTGCCGTGCTACTGAGCTAAATCCCTGGCCCTACATGCTCTTTTCTGAGTGAATAAAATTGAATGAAAAAAAAATCCCTAACCCAAGTAGATGAAATAATCCATCAGGGTTTTTTTTGTTGTGACAGGCACATATTTATTTCACAGATGGGACAACAGCTTGAAATCAGCTAAAACACTTTGCTGAAGGGCACAGCAAGCTATCTGTACACCAAGGGACAGAATTAAAAAGTAACATGATGAATTCCAGGCTGCTGCTTTTTTTTTTCCCCTCAGTACCAGGGACGGGACCTTGCACTTACAAGGCAGGCAGTGGCACCACTGAGCTAAATCCCTGGCCCTCCAGGCCGCTTCTATACCCTATCCATTCATCCAAACACACATCGAGCACCTCATCTGTGCTGGGCCCACAGCCTCCATCCCATCAAAGCCTCGTGGGGAAGCAAGCAGCCACTCAGCTACCACTGTGCACCCAGGCACAGCCTCACAGCTCTGAGTCATACTTTCCTCTAAGATGAGGAGGGATGCCCTGCCGGGCTCAGCACGGTCTCAGGAATCAAGTGAGCTCGTGGAGACCAGAGCACATACTTACTTAGACCGCAGGTCTCTGCCACTGATGTGCAGTTGGGTCTCCAACATGTTTTTCTTGTCCTGTAAGAAGAACAAGACAAAGCATACTAAGATTTAACATTAAGGATAAAAGATGCAGCCTGCCTGGAAAAGCCTGCTGAACATAACCCAGAGCAGGCTGACCCAGAGACCCAAATGTCCTTGAGAAGGCAGCAGTGGGGCTTGTCACATGGCCAGCTACCCTTACAGTCAAATTTCAGAACACTGTCATTCAGCTTCCCTCAAACACACACCAAGCCCTGCACCTCCCTTCCCTCTCCTCTTCTCCCCAGTCCCTGCAGCTACTAATGTATTTTCTGTCTCCAGATTTGCCTATTCTGGACATTGCATAGAAACAGGATCACAAAACACGTGGCCTTTGACTCAGCATGTTTCTAGGTTCACCCATGACGCAGATACAACAGAATTTCATTCTTCTTTACTGTTAAACAGCTATTCTTGGGGCTGGGGATTTAGCTCAGTGGTTCCACTGCCTGCCTCGCAAGCGCAAGGACCCGAGTTTGATCCCCGGTACCAAAAAAAAAAAAAAAGAAGCAGCTATTCCTATGATACAGGTGTATCACACTTATTTACCAGTTCATTTGCTGGGGGACATTTGGGCTACTTCTTCCTTTTGGCGGTTATGCAGCACCACTCAGAATATTCACATGTAGGTTGTTACATACACGCTTCTGTTTCTTCTGAGAGACACTACTGAGTGGCTGGCCACAGTGACATATCTGGATATGGGCTACTGAGGACACGGCCCTAAGAATGAGGTGCCCCCAACATCTGGGCCCTGCTTGAGCATGCAGCTTGCCAAACTCTGGCTTCCAAAGTAGGAAAAGGACGAATTCTTTCGAGATGTGTCCTGCTACACAGAGTTCTATAAAACGTGGTGCCCTCTTTAATGCCCCAGCATTTCTTTCTTTCTTTTTTTTTTTTTTTGTACCGGGATTGAACTCAGGACCTTGTGCTTGTGAGGCAGGAGGCAGAAGGTATTTCTAACACTTAAAACCAGTATTTCCAACCATTAAAACTAGAAAGGGTTAAGACTGTGACACATGGCACTGTGATATTTAGAAGGTCCAAACCAAACACACCTACCTTGGAGATGGACCAGTGTGAGGGCCCACAACATCAACAAGTAAAGTCATTTCAAGGAACTTTAGCTTTGAATGGCAACTTTACAAAAATAATTTACTTGATCACATCACTAAGTACTGGTCCCTATGTAAATCTGGGGAAAGTACTCACTTTTTTAAGTCTTGAAGGTAAAAACACCTCAACTGTAGCAATTCCAGTTGTTTTGTAATTTTCATTTCCTGTTCCACGGTCAACTGCTTTGCAACGTATTTCTTCTATTATCTTTTCTACTTCATCTTCACAACATCCTAGTTTGTGAGAATACCTCTTAGCAAGGTCCTAGGAAGAAAAATCAGAAAACACAGCTCAGTACAAGAACAATGCCAAAAAACAAAACAACAGGGCCAGGGAATTAGCTCAGTGGTTCTGCCACTTGCCTCGCAAGCCAAAGGACCGGAGTTTGATCCCCGGTACCGAAAAAAAAAAAAGTGACTATGGAATCCTCATCTCTTCCTGTCTCTTCAGGGGCCGGGGATTTAGCTCAGTAGTTCTGCCACCTGCCTTGCAAGCACAAGTTCTCGAGTTCAATCCCCAGTACACCCCCCCAAAAATAAGATGACGTAGGTATATATCTGTAAGAAAGATGCTCATGACATATACAAAGTTATAAAGCAAATGAGAATATTTTATTTTAAAAATATTAACTTATTTATAATAAAATTTAAATAGTCACATAAACTAGAATATATCAATACTGATGAAGTTTAATGCAATTTTTAAAATGTATTCTTTGTATATTTTGTATTTAATTATACTACTATACCACATGACTATGTTTTGGTCAATAATGAACCAAACATACAATGTTGGTCTCATAAAATATAATACAGCTAAAAATTCCTATTGCCTGGGGACGATGTAACCACACTGATACCACAGTGTAACATGCTACTCAAATCCATGGTAATGCTGGGTCAACAAACCTACAACAAACCTGCAAGTCATATCAAAGTGTGGAACATACAATCCCATACAGGGACAGACTGATAATAAATGACTATGTGTACTGTAGATGCGTATGCCCTTCTAAGTCAGCAGCAGCCTCCTATCTCATAAGCAAACTGTCTCCAACCCAAGCCCTGGTGCTCACCTGGTAGTTAAGCAACTCCTAAGCATGTACAGGCTGAGCACCCTTAAGGTGAAAATCCGAAACTCAAACTGAGTGTCAACACCGATGTTGAAAGAAGTTTCAGACTTTTGCATCTCAAGGCACTGTGGAGTTCAGGTTTTTAGATTATGGATATTTCTAGCACTCTGGAAGCTGAGGCAGGAGTATTACAAGTGTGATCCCAGCCTGGGCAACTGGATGAGTTGGTTGGACCCTGTCTCAAAAAATAAATAAAGGGCTAGAGATGTAGCTCAGGGCAAAGGCCCCAATACCACCACCACCAAAAAAAAAAAAAAAGATAGATTAGGGATCCTCAGCATGTAAAGTCTCTGCAAATATTTCAAAACCTGAAAGACTCTGAACTCCATTTCTAGTCTTATGCATGTGGGATAGGGACACTTAACCTATATACAGTTTATTTTTAACTCAGGTGTATAAATTATTTTTATCGCCAGAAAACATGTAAACTTTTAAATAAAATTCTTTTTAAAAAAATAATGCTCTAATTTTTGAAAAACCTAACTAGTGAGGGTGTCTGTTTTCCTCCTGACACCAAATGGGTGTTCTACAGTGCGATTCAGTTCTGACACTCACCACCCAGAGTCAGGTTTAGATTTCACAGGTCTGAGGGCCCCATCCCATAGAATGCCCTCATTGTAGGACCATGTGCCCAGTGTCTGGGGGCCAGTTACCCACTTTTGTCTGACACGGCTACAAAGTTGTGAGTCCCCACCATCCCCCTTCCAGGTGTGCTAATTTGCTATGTTTGCTAATTTAGAAACTGCCAGAGCCAATCATTTAGGGGGTTTTATGGAAGCAGGATTAATGTAATCAGCCACTGGTGGTTAATGCCAGCTTCTGCAGCTCTCCCTTCCCCAGAGGCTGCAGCATGGAGCCAGCAGTTCCATATACCTCATTAAGGTTTGATCTTTTGGTGATCAACCCCATCCTGAAGCTGTTCAGGGGCCACCAAGCACCATTAGGACAAAAGATGCTCCTATCGCCCTCACCATTCCTGCAAGGGTTTTAGCTCTGCCAGGAACTGGGACAAAGATCAAATATCTCCCCAAATCATGTAGAGCCAAGAAGCCACAACAAGCAAATTCTGAAGTAGGCTGCCAAAACCAAACCAAACCAAACCACCACCAGAGACTAGGGAGAAAGGACTGAGACCCTGATACAGTGTGTGACCTCTCCATTGCACTCATGTCGCCACTACACAGGACAATTCAATGCTGTCATGCCGATCCATAGTCCCTGTGAATGTTAGCTCATGTTCCGGACACCCACTTGGGACACAGAGAACACCGTAGCATGCTCTAATATGAAGATTTCTGTCAACAATGGGCTAAGTTTCTCCATTTAGAAAGGTGGGAAAATTTCAATTTCTTGAAACATCACAAAAACAATACCACTTCTTTTTTTTTTTTTTTTTCGGTACCGGGGATTGAACTTGGGTCCTTGTGCTTGTGCAGCAGGCGGAAAAATCACTGAGCTAAATCCCCAGCCCGACAATACCACTTCTGATGATGCCGTAAGAAAGGAAGGCACAATTGTTAGAAAAGTATATTTTGGAACACTGATAGCCACAGTGTAAAGATGCCAAGAGAGGGGAGGGGAACAATGGTTTTATAGCAGAGTGACAGGAAGGAGGACCAAGAAGCTATGAGACACTGTCACGCTGACCCGCAGCACGGTGATGAACGGCATGTGTCCTGCTACACCAAGAGGTCGACATCAGCTTCCAAATGAATAATTTTATGTAACACTGTGAAGGTATTAAAATCTTGCCAGGGTGTGAACATGGATAGTTTCCCAAGGGCCCATATGTTAAAGGCTTGGTCCCCAGAGAGGCCTCAGGAGGTGGGGCCTATGGGAGGTCCTTGTCACTGGGGGACATCCTTGAAAGAGGTCACGTCCTCCTCCTTCTGTAAGGTGACTCAGGAGATGAGCAGTGTGCTCTGCCACAAGCTCCAGGGATGACATATCCCCACCCCACCCCACCCCTAGAGGCCCAAAGCCCCGAAAACACACTTGATCTTGGAGTGGAACCTCCAGAGTTAGGAACCAAAATACATCCTTCTCTTTCTAAATGACTTGTGCCAGGTGCTTTGTTATAATGGCAGAAAGCTGACTACAATAATGCCTGAGAAATGTGGTAACAGTCTCATATTAATAAAGTATCAGGAATAGCTCGGTGGTGAACTGCTGCTGAGCACACACGAGGCCCTGGGTCAAAACCTAAGCATGACAGAAATATCTTTCGATCAGTAAACAAAAATAAGCTTGTTGAGGTCCAGGGATTTAGCTCAGTGGTTCCGCTGCTTGCCTTGCAAGTGCAAGAACCCAAGTTCGATCCCCGGTACCAAAAAAAAAAAAAAAAAAAGCTTGTTGATTACTAGTAAAGAGTGGGTACTTGCTCATCACTAATGCTTCTGGTGATATCCAAAGTTTATATGGCTATGCCTGGCAATTTCTGGTGAGTTTAGAATCTTATTAGCAAGGAGATTTATAACCCTGCTACTCACTTATATCTTAAAAGAAAAAATACCTTTAATGCCAAACCAACTTCTTTATTTTCATCTGTATATGGAGGTTTCCAAAGTTGAATCTTGTCTTCCCTTAAAAACTGGGTCAATTTTGCTTGAAGATATTTCTTTTGTGCCATCCTTGAAAACAAAATTGTATATCAATAAAACCCCTCAGGCCGGGGATTTACCTCAGTGGTTTTTGCTGCCTGCCTTGAAAGTGCAAGGTCAGGCCGGAGATTTAGCTCAGTGGTTTCCATGCCTGTTGTGCAAGTGCAAGGACCTGAGTTCGATCCCTGGTACCAAAAAAAAAAAAGAAAACACGAAGTCCCAAGTTTGATCCTTGGTAGCAAAAAATTTTTTTTAATTAAAAAAAAAAAAAACCCCAACCATATTTTAAAATATTTTATAAACTTACCTAACACATTGAGGTGCTACAAAGAGTAAGCAGAGCTTCCCTCCACCCCCCAGTTTAAATTATTAAGGCTTTAATCAGCTCTAGACTTTTCTAAAATATACAACTACTTAAATAATTCATAACATGTTCACTGATACGCATTATATTTAACATAAAATATTTTAAAGTTGTTTGTTCCTTTTTTTTTTTTGGTGCCGGGATTGAACTTGGGTCCTTGCACTTGCAAAGCAGGCGGTGGAACCACTGAGCTAAATCCCTGGCCCTAAAGTTGTTAATATATAGCAAAGAGAATTACACTTTTCCATCTCTTACTGTATTATTCTGTTTGTTAGTTTTTTGAGACAGGGTCTTGCTGTGTAGTTTAGGCTGGCCTTGAAGTCACTATGTAGCCCAGGCAGACCTTGAACTCATGGTGATCCTCCTGCCTCAGCCTCCACCAGCCCTACTATTTTGTAATCTAAGAGAAAAGATGAATCCCTACGGTAATGAATCTCTTTAAGCAACTTAATATAGAGCTTGTAAATTCTCCTGTTCTTTGGTTAACCTAACATAAAACAACAACAAAAAAAACCAACCATCCAGGTAGTTGAACACAAAGAAAACTAGCCTGAATTGTAAATTGGCAATAAAAATATTCTCTAGATCAGAATGAATTAAATTAAAAATCTACAATAATAGACAAGCTTGAATGTGAACTTGTGATAGCACAGTAACCCACCTACACACACTATTCAGATCCAGCTGTGGCTGGCTGTCATTTTTCAACTGGGAAAACCTAGCCCAAGATTTGTAACAAGATCTGGCAGAGGCCAGGGATTTAAGCTCAATGGTGCCGCTGCCTGCCTTGCAAGCTCAAGGTCCCGAGTTCAATCCCCAGTAACCCCCTTCCAAAAATCTGGCAGAGGTCAGAAAATTAGGTGATGTGCCATAACGTTAAACATTGAGACTTGTGCCTATGACACTGTGCTCTACACTTTGTCACACAATCCCTTGCTGCTTGTCTGCCCCAAGTGTGCAGTGTCTCTCTCCCTCCCAGAGCCAAGGTGGAGCTGTCCAGGCTTCCTGCACTAGCACAGTTAATCAAAGGGATGTGTGAGGTTGCTAAGAGACATGAGGCAGCCAGTGGGTACTGTGCAGCACTTTAGGATCTGCCAAATCACACAAATAGAAAAGCAAAAAGTTATTATCTTCTGAATGATCAACACAAGTTCTAGAGTGAAAAAAACATACAAATTGATATCATCTAGACAAGTAACTTTTTTCCTATTCCATATGTGCTCAAACCCAGTTCATCTGATTATTAAACCAAATGTAGTGGCTTCAGTATTCTATAAACAAATTATTTTTTTAAAGTTCTAAGCTATTTTATGGGAATTTGGGGGTGAGAAGTAATCAGAACACGGAGGAGAAAAAGGAAGAAAGAATAAACACAATGAGAGAGGGTGCTGAGCATATTTTGGGTGACCCATGAAAGAATGCCAGATTTTCAAGCACTAACAAACCACTTCTCACAGCAAAGCATACCAGTCCTTGGAAACAACAGCTTTCCAAACAAAAATAACTTAAAAGATCACTTTACATACTACTCATAAATCTTCGGAAATTCTAAGTGAGAAGTCACAGTAAATGGCCAATGGGGGGGATGCTTCTAGGAGCCCAGCTATTTGGAAGGCTGAACACACAGAGGTCCTAACCAAGCCACTAACTGAAAAAGGGACCACAGGGTGTCACAAGCCCAGTTTGGGTCCCACACTCCAGGGAGCAAAAGAACAGCTCCAGGGTCTACACCAGGTATGCGATATAATGCTTAAAAAAATTAAACTGTTGAGGAGCCGGTTGTGATGGCACACGCCTGAAATCCTAGCATTCGGGAGACTGAAACGGAGGATCACCTTGAGTTCGAGGTCAGCCTAGGCTACATAGCGAGACTCTGTCTTTAAAAAAAATTAAAGTACTGGGCCAGGGATTTAGCTCAGTGGTTCCAGCACCTGCCTCGCAAGCTCAAGGACCGGAGTTCGATCCCCGGTACCAAAAAAAAAATTAAATTACTGTCTTGTAACCAACAAAACTTCAATTGTAGACAACAAAATACGCGGTGACACGTTAGTCAAGTTTTTAAAAAGTTTATCAAACTGTCTTCGGTTTCAACCCGGGAACTGTAACGTTTCACTCAAACACCGTCTTTCTACTTTTTACTTTCACTTTTGTAACGAAGAGATCCAATCCACCTTTAGCCAGGGCGTTCAACTATACATGCAAACACACCTATTCTATACCCCAAATATGTTACATTTTCACTTAAAGAGTAATAAAAGACCCTGTATTAAAATGAGAGCAGGAGACTGAGGTCGGAGACCAGCTGTGTTCTCGCAGACAGCCCTCCAGTTCCGACTGCTGAGGCGTCGCACCCTCGGGACAAGCTAACGACCCCCACCCCGGGGGTCTTTCCGGTCTCCCCCGGCCCGGTGCGAACCCGAAGCCGAACCCCCCCCAATCCTCCCGGTCCGGCCGGGTACCGCCAACGCAAGCCGCTCACCTGCCGCCACCCCGCCCGCCCGGAGGACGCGACGAGAAGAGCCGGGAACCGCGACCGAAGTTCACCGCCCCTCACCTGCGCTGCCGCTCGTGCCCCGCCGCGTCCGCTGCGAACGGCTGAGTGCCCGGATGCGGCAGGGCCGCCGTTTGTTTTCATTCCGGGTAATTCCGGCCCCGCCCTCGCTATCCCGCAGTGCACCCTTGAAGGCTGTGGGAGGAAGGAGGCAGGGCTGTGCCGTGGGCGGGGCTAATGTGGGTTTGGGCGGGGCAGCGTTGGGACGCGGTAAGGAATGGGAACCGGAGAGGTGGGGAAGGGAGCCGGGCAGGCGCAAGCCCCGAGGCGGGGAGACCTGTGCTGTGGGCGGGGTTAGCTGCCAGGGGCGGAGCTAATTGAGTGGGCCGGGTAGATGGCGAAGGGCGAGATCTGGGAGGGTTAAAATGGGGCTAGATTGAAAATGGTAATTCGGGCAGGATGAGAAATCCAGACTCCTGCAGGTGAAGCCCAGGCCAAGTTTGCCCAATGTCAGAAGAAATTGAGTCTAGAGTTTTTGGGGTTTTTTTTGGGGGGGGGGGTGTTCTGGGGATTGAACCCAGGGCCTCACTCTTGTTAAGCAAGTGCTCTATCAAATTTTATTTTATTTTATTTTTTGATACTGAGGATCGAACTCGGGACCTTGAGCTAGCAAGATAGGCGCCGGAACCACCGAGTTAAATCCTCGGCCCTATGATTTTATTTTTAATCAGTCTTCCTAAATTGCCCAGGCTGGCCTCAAACTCGAAGTCCTCTTGCCTTAGCCTCCTGAATAGCTGGGATGACAGACATATGCCACTTGAGTCTGGCTGTGCCCTGGCTCCCACCAGTGCTTGGGGGGACCTGGGCAAGTCACTAACAGGGGTAACAGTGACCCTACTTCTGTGCCATGTTGTAGGCACCCAGCGAGAGGCATGTGCAGAGTGCCCAATAGGACAGCTTCACTTGTGCTAATTGGCCACTCCTATTTTCTTGAGGTCTGGAAGTGGTGATCCTTCAAGCGGACCCAATACTGTGTCTGTCCATAACGCATTGTACAAGCTAAGAAGAAGTGCAGAAATATTATTCATGATGCCCAGAAATTCCCCAGCGTTCACAGAACTGGGGCAGATGCCAGCAAGAAGTGGAGTGTCTGAATCTGGGTTGGTCTCATTTTCATTGGCCTGTGGGACATTAGGAAATGTGACAGTGACCAGATGGCCACCAGCATGAGGGGGAGCCCTGCAGAGACACCTGAGCCAGTCCAGCCCAGAACTGCCTGGGTTCTATGACTCAGGAACCAAGTAAAATGGTTATTATAAGCATTAGGTTTGGGAATAGTTTATTATCCAGCAAAAGCTAAATGATTAAGCATTCATTATCAAGGCAGGGTAAGGTATAGTCAGGCCTTATTTGTTGGACTAAAATAGTTATCCTGAGGTAACAGTATCTTAATAATAATCTTTAGCAATTTAAATAAAGTAAATAAGTAATCTTTAGCAATTTAAAAGAAACAAATGTCAAGATCAATTTGTTTCTTTGTAACAGAGTAACACAGTTCCTTTTTTTGTTTGCTTGTTTTGTTGTTGCTTGAGGCCGGGTCTCACTCTGTGGTTCAGGGTGGCCTTAAACGCCTACCCACCCTCTTGCCTCAGCCTCCGGAATGCTGAGATTACAGGCCACCACACCCAATAACAAACTTGCTTTATCAAGTAAAACTTGACGCTTTTCCTGAAAATACTATAAAATCTCTATCTTTCTATATGATCTTCTATCCTACTATATGATTTTAAAGTTTTCTCTATAGTTACATTAGCATATATTTTCACCTTTTGAACATTTTATTGAAATATAATTCTTACAACAGACCAGTTTGAATTGCTCAATGCAATGGTTTTCAGTATGTTTGAAGAGCTGGGTTTCCATCACCACAAATAATTTGAAAACATTTTCATCCACCCTCAAAAGCACCCTGTGCCCATTTGTACTCAGCTTTTAATTTGTCCTAAATTCTCAGACTACCTATTGCCCACTTCCCTTTCTGTCCTCCCAGCCCCTGGCAACCACTAATCTACTTCCTGTTTCCTTGGATTTGCTCAGGATGAACATACCTTAAAAATAGAATCATATGGGTGGGGATTTAGCTCAGTGGTTCTACTGCTCCCTTGAAGGCACAAGGTCCCGAGTTTGATCCCTGGTACCAAAAAAAAAAAAAGAATAATATACAGTATGTGGTTGTTTTTTTCAGGAATCGAACTCAGGGCCTCGAGCTTGCCAGGCAAGCACTGTGCTGCTGAGCTACATCCGTGGCCAGTATGTGGTTTTTGCAATGGGCTGATTTCACTGAGCCTAATGTTTTCAGTGTCAATTCCTGTTGTATCATGTATTGGTACTTTATTCCTTTTCATTGCCAAACAATATTCTATTACATAGATGTGCTACATTTTGTTTATTTGTTGGCTCATGAACATTTGGACAGTTTCCACCTTTTGGATATTACTATGTGTCAGGTAAAAAAGCCGAAAACCAAGACCAGACCAGGCTACAACAAGCCTTTATTGTAGGGACAATCTGCTGGGCTGTCTCTGAACAGAGAAACAAAAGCAATATGGCCAGGATGGGGAGTGCTTCTTATAGGAGCTGGGGTGGGCCTTGTAGGAGCTGGGATGGGGTTGAGTGAGGTAGTGGCCAGGGACTGGAGGAACCTGTGACATCACTAGCTGTTAGGAAGAGAGCAAGTATTAGGTTACTCTTTTGGTGGGAGTAGGGGCATGTTGGGAAGAAGGTAACTATTATATACAGCAGCCACCCTAAATCAGAGGGAAATCTATCACTATGAATAATGCCTCAGTGAACATTAGGGCAAAACTTTTTGTCTCAAATATATGACTAGGATTGGAGTTGGTGGTTCTATTTTATCTTTTTTTTTTTTTGGTACTGGGGATTGAACTCGGGTTCTTGTGCTTGCACAGCAGGCAGCGAAACCGCTGAGCTAAATCCCGGGCCCAAATAGCTAAACTAGTTAGAAAATATAGGGCAGTTAGACAGGGCGGGGCCCTCAGCATTGAAGGCAGTGGTGGCCTGAGGCTCATTCACTGAAGACCGGGATACAGAAAAAGAGGACTGACTACACCCACACACTTCCCCAGGGCTGAAGAGCAGTGACTGCTATTCTAAACAGGCCTCAGTGACCTTGGGTGGGGACCCAAACCTCCCAAGCCCACTCCTTCTCAGAAAATCCTTTTCTTTCCTTCTTTTTTTTTTTTTGGTACTGGGGATAAACTCAAAACCTTTCACTTGGAAGGCTGGTGTGGTGCCACTGAGCTAAATCCCCAGCCCTCAGAAAATCCTTGTTTGTCCTGTGTAGGCTTGCTGGGTGACTTGCTTCCCTATTTGACCCCCATTTAATCAATATTACCCAAGTGGGGCCAGGGATTTAGCTCAGTGGTTTCGCTGCCTGCCGCGCAAGCGCAAGGACCCGAGTTTGATCCCTGGTACAAAAAAAATTACCCAAGTGACCATACTTGTTGTAATCTTATTGGCTGATCGTAGTTTTGTTCTACCTGTGATTTCCCATCAGATCAATATTACCTAAGCGACTACACTTGGAATCTTATTAGTTTTGTCCCACCTTGTACTCACCTCACACATGGCTTGTACTCGTCGTGGCTTTGCTCAATAAAACCCATTTGAGAAGCGAAGTGGGCAGGCAACCCACTTTCCGGTACCCCTTCTGTCTCTCTTAGACTGAAGCTATCTTTCTCTCAATAAATTCTTTCTACTCAACCTCCATTGTTCTTAGAATTTATTCTTCAATTTTAGAGAAGACACACTTGACATTTGGGACATCTAGCAGGTTGGGAGTTATAATATTTCCCTTACATTGTTTAGTTCATTTGGAGGTGCTATATCATACTAAAGTGGCACTCGGAGGGCAGGCCGCCCAAGGAGAGAGCGGCACCCAGAACTGAAGGGAAAGGCAGGTTGCTTATCGTTAGCGGGCCCAGGGGAAGTCACCTTCCAGAGTCTGAGCCCTGTTTCTCCATTTGTTCTCAAACTTATCTGTTTTTTAGCCAGGGCAGGGGAGCAAGCAGAATTTTACAGAAACAGAGCTTACCAAAGAGTAGGGGGGTGGTGGGGTGGTGGAGGTAAATGTTTTCACAGTTTACCTTTTTTAAAAAGAAATTTTATTTTATCCCATCCCCCGCCCAGCCCCCTCTCCTCCCTATGTACAAAAGCTTTGTTTCCATTTTTTCCTTCTATTTTCACTTCTTTTCTTGTCCCTTCCTTCCTTCCTTTCTCCCTCCCTCCTTCCTTTGTACAGTTTATGTTTAAAACAGGGAGGTGGGTGGCTGTTTCAGCAGTTCATCTTCCAGGCACAGTGACCTTTGTGGGTTTAGCAGGAGGGCATGCCTTAGACTGTCAGCCTTAGACTGTCAGTCTCTGCTCTGTGTTTTCTTCTTTTTTTTTTTTCCATTTCAATAAGTCCTATATCAGTTCCTGTGGTAACTCTATGTTCAATCCTTTGAAGAACTGCCAAACTTTTCCACAGCAACTGTATCATCTTGTGTTCTTATCAGCAAGAATGGTTGTAACTTTTCCAATTTTTCACATCTTTTCTTTGTTTTCTTCATTCTAGCCCTCCTAGTGAATGAAAAGTGGTATCTCATTGTGGCTTTGAGTTGCATTTTCTTTTTTTTTTGGTACGGGGGATTGAACTTGGGACCGTGTGCTTTTGAGGCTGGCGCCGGAACCACTGAGCTAAATCCCTGGCCCTGCATTTTCTTTCTGATCGATGATGTTAAGCATCTTTTCATCTGCATACTAACCTTCATCTTCTTTTAAGAACTATCTTTTCAGCCGGGTGTGACAGCACATTTAGGCCTATAATCTCACACTCAGGAGGTTGAGGCAGGAGGGCTGCCATAAATTTGAGGCTACTTAGTGAGTTCAAGGCCAGCTTCCCTGATTTAAAGGTCTTGTCTCTACCGCAGACATAGCTCTCAGAAAAGCTCTGTGGCTTCCCAGTCCCTGCACAGGGCATAGCTACATACAAGACTTACTTCATGCTCCAACAGCCAAAGACTGAGATCTCCACCA